CCTTCCTTTGACAAATTAAGAAGTTTATGTGACAAACTTTGGGACATGAAACTAATTATAGTGTTTTGAAATAGTGATGAGTAGAATTTCAATGTTGAACAATATCTGGTGTAACTGTGTTTCTGCTTGTGAGTTAAATAATTGATGTTCAATTTTCCATTAGGTTGAGATAACAGCAGGTATTACATCATCATTGGTTTAATAACCATTGGTTATGTCATCTTCTTAATTTAAACAAATGTGTTTGATTTCATGATTTGCCTTCAAAAACAGGATAAAATCAATTCATCAAGTTCACCTGATTCATTAGTAATAAGAGATAGGATATTTCCTTCAAGATGTCTGTTCCTCTGTGATTGTTTATGGTATTTGGTTTCTGTCCATAAAGTCTTTCAAAATTGTTTGAAGATAGTTTAACGATAACAGAGGAAGTTAATGAAGAATTTTCTAAGATAAATTTCTGTGGTAATTATTGTTTTTCTCAGAACTTGAGTACCTCAGAAGTTCTTGTGATCAGGTTAAATGCTAGTTGCACATGTTTTTCATCAGCTGGGTGAAGCAGAGAAATGGACTGGTCTGTGTGTTCGTAGTTCACGGTCCTCAAGCAACATTTTTTACCCTTATTGCTCTGGATAGCATGTGATGGTCCTCCCATATGTTTTTCATTGAGGTAGCTACCAGCTGCTTCACCTGTTAAAGCCACTAAACATTGTTTGGAGGGGTTCCTTAAACAATTGGTGCCATATTGCAATCCTTGTAATATAATAATAGTCCATTTCAGAAAAAAGGGGAGAAAAAGAAAAGAAAACACCTGATGGTGACTATTATTAAAGTTACTACATTATAAACTAGATTTTAGCAATTTTTTGTCAAAAACATTTTTATATCCGTCGTTAGTTTGGAATTTTATTTTGATCCTTAACGCTAGTGACTCGAGAATGTAGTCAAGCTGAGTAAAAATTGATTGATTCCATCCTTATGACTCTGTATTTTCAAACTGCTGACGTAATATTTCTGCTTCAGTGGAAATTGGCTAATTTTACTCCCAGTATTCCTCTGTCAGACCATCAGAAATTTCCATGTGAGAAATGTACGAGGATATCTGAAGTTCTGTCAGTCATGTTTCCTGTGTACATACTTAAATCTGGAAGTCAACATTTGTAGAACACATTTTTCATCATTCTAAAAGACTGCTTTATTGTGATCATACTTTTCTGAAACATTGTGTAACAGCTTGTATATACTTCAAACCCATTCTTGTTATTGAGTGTTAACTTAAAGTTCAAACTAGGACACAAGATTCATAGTTCTTCTTTACTTGCTAAATGTTAGAATCACTATTATAGCTGAAACCTTCCTAATTTAATCATTGTTGGCAATGCCTCTCATCGACCAGTGTACTTAATGATTCCTTACTGTATACATTAGCCACAAGTTCAAACCTAATGATGAATTTTCCTCATAACCAGTATATCACAGACCATTGTATTAGGGAATAGATATTGTGAGTTGTCTTTACTTCCCTAATACTTTAAGAAAACTGAGATAAATTATACACTGTACTTCAGGAATACTTTAAGAAGACTGAGATAAATTATACACTGTACTTCAGGATGATAAGATAAAGGCAGTGGGTTAAAGCAATATTTGATCGTATTGGTAAATGTTACTCTCGGTTCAATTTGAAATTCCGTGTTGGCTGGAACTTTGTTAGATGTGAAATGGTAGTTCATTCCTTGTGGAAATGAAATTTGTTAAAACTTCATTGCCATGATTTCTAGCTTGAAGTGAAAAAAATAAATGATAAACCACGATTAAGTCTTGGGTAGCGTCTGTTAAAGCTAAAAACTGTTGTGTAACGTTGCTGTTTCTCCACACATAAATAGAAAAATGAATTTTGTTATTTTGTATCTAAGTGCACAATTATACTGCAGGAACAGAGCATGTGATTGCCATTGTTTGGTTTTAACATTGAACAGATACAGGACAAACAATTCTTATGTAATTAACCTAGGTTGAAATCATTAAATATCTTTAAAGGTCTTAAGCTTCTGCTACACTGATGTCATTAACATAGCGGTGCCAGAAAACCCAAATCAGTAGAATATTTTAACATTCTAATTACATAAAGACAGCCTTAATTTTAAAATCTGAATATAATTAATATTTTAAGGTCTCCATGGTTGATTTTAAAGTATGGTCATGGTCAGCTGATCGATCTTGAGTATTACCAGGCATGTAAGTGTTCTGAACGTGTTGATATAGATTACTGGGGAAGAAAGAAGGAAGTGAGGTGTTGATGATTGTATTGTTTGATAATCATAAAAGTGGTTGATGTGGTAGTTTATTCTTCAAAGTTAAACATGAATTTATTACAATAAAGGAATTAATTCTGTAAGAAGATGCATTATCAAGAAATTCAAAATACGGCAGAAAGTTAGGAAATAAAAAAGGTTCTAAAGTTACACTTATTGACCATTCAGGCTAAAAAAGAGAATTTAAAAAACAGTAAGAAATTAGTGACAAGAGAACAAAATCATCATCCAAACTAAAAATCGATGAAGTGAGGGCTAAATATGTTAAGAGAAAGATGTACAGGGATATGGAAGCAATGCTTTCAATTTTGTACTGAATCTTTTGAAGTAGACAGATGTAAGGAAAGAAACTTAATTGCTTTTCTTAAACAAGAATCCTAAGAAAATATGTTTTACACGTTAACAGGTATAAAGGTAATTCTAGATCAGCTATTACATGTGGTAGTTTATCATAGTCGATTGGTATGAAAAGATAACTGAGCTTTTCTGTCGTAGGAGGTCGTAGGATGTTTGTTTGTGCAATGTTCTGTGAATCTATATTCCTAACACTATCTGTCTACTAAATCAATGTCTGTTTGATTTGCGTGGATTAGAAATCCCTCAAGTGGTAAGTGGTGAAGGCTTGTGTCCACTGGTCACTTGCTTTCCCAACACACAGACACACTAACTGAATTGACCAAGTATTCCAGACATATTCTTTATATCAGATAAAAAATGATTGATCTTGCCGACACTGCAATTTTCTTTGGTCATCTACATGATATTATTTCAGGTTTGCGCTAGCCTAGGATGTCACTGAGAAAATTAGAAACTTAATGATTAGGGAACCCTTCTTCTCAGTATTAGATCAGATAACGGTTAATATCTAGGTAAACCTTTTTGATAATCAGTTAATTTGGTTGCATGCCGTATTGGATTAACACTTCAAGTGTGATTATTTTTCAATTGTTTATTTCAATATACAAAAATTTCCAATTAAATTTTGAAATGTAAGAGAACGCATGTCACCTTTACCTGTAATGTTTAAATACGTGGGCATGTTTTTTACTAGTATATAAGTTCTATCTTTGGTTCATAATTGAAAGGGCACAGTATTATAGGTGAATAAGGTCTGTGGCCCAGATTTAATCAAGATGAAAGTGCACAGTAGGGACTACACCCAAGAGTAAAATGGACAGTGACTAACCCAGATCTGGAACTAAATAGCCAAGATAAAGTCCAAAATTGAAACAATGGCCCATATTAAAGTACACAGTTAGAACTATGGCCCAGATGTAAGTACGCAATAACAAACACCTTACCTCCCCCCTTCCCAAGATGTAAGTACATACATGTACATAGAACTATAGCCCAGATGTAAGTATGCAGTTACAAACACCTTATCTCCCCCCTTCCCAAGATGTAAGTACATACATGTACATAGAACTATAGCCCAGATGTAAGTATGCAGTTACAAACACCTTATCTCCCCCCTTCCCAAGATGTAAGTACATAAAAGGAAATAGAACTATAGCCCAGATGTAAGTATGCAGTTACAAACACCTTACCCCCCCCCCCTCTTTCCCAAGATGAATGTTCATAGAACTATAGATGATAGTGACCAGTGGGAATTATAGCCCAGGTGAAAGTGTTGTTCTTATGTAAAGAAGAAATCAGAATAGTATTAGAAAATGGACATGGCTGGGCAGGTGGTTACAGATAGTCTGACTTCTGAAACTCATACCAAATCCAGCTACCCAGGATGACACAGGAGTACAGAGATCTAAGGTTTTACGGTCATGTGTTAATTACATTATAAGCCTCCTGCTGTCTTTGTTTAGGTACATCTTCCTGCCAGTATCACTTCTCCAACAGATTAATCATTCAGAAAAATCTAAATGTACCAGATTATAGTTGGGATAACCTCCATTTTTGTGTCTGTAGAAATCCATTATTTATGCCTTGGTATCGTGATGTGGATCTTATGTTGGGTTTATTGCTGTCTTCAACCGATGGTATTCCTCGGGAACGTCCCAGCTAATCTACTTCTAAAATGTTTGTGAATTTAATGTGAGGCATCAGGTACACTGGTTACATAATGAGGCTATCAATCAAAACTGTGTTGATTAAAACAACACAATTGATTAGGTCTTATTTGTGTAATTCTTCTGATTTATATACCGTGAGTGTAAACTATTTCGTGTACAATAGTGTACATATTTGTTATATATAGTCCATGAGGAATAAGCATTGGTGAGGTTGATATGATGATTTATCAACCTGATAAAATAACTAAATAAATAAAATTTCCAAGACTTTTGTGGAGATAAATATTGGCTTTATTGATTGATATGTGAATTATGAAAACCTGTCTGTCTCCAGGTTTTGGCATAATAGACATACTGCGACTTGAAAAATAGAGATAACTCAATTTTCACATGAAGATATAGGTCCTTATATTGACATAATCTATATAAAATCTCCCCAAAGATTTGAAAAAAGATAAAAAGATACTCTTTTTTTTTAAAAGACTGTTTCTCATATGAAAATGTTACCATTTCAGATAAGAACATATCTGTAAATACTGGTAATGTAGCATATCTTATGGGTTTGGAGTTCACAGGTTCTGTTAAAAATTAGTATACAATGATTTGTATTGGTAAAATTCTTACATATGTTCTTCAGGTTATGGTTTTTACTTTTCAGATCCTGTCCATATTTGCCTTTGCAACAACTACAAGTGTTAACACCCAGCTTAGTTTCTATGCAAAATGTGGCGAAGGACTTGATAGTATGAGACAGGAAGCATCTGTGTCCTATCCATTCAGGTGAGTGATCATTTAGATAAGGATCATCTTCGATACACTAGGGGATATGATCACTTTCAAACTCTGCACCGCTGGAAACAGTCATGGCAAAACTGAAGGCAAGCAAAGTAATTTGATTGGTTCCAGGAGAAAAAAACTGACCAATCGCAGGCTGAAATGCGCCTTTTGAAGATTACAAAGTAGGGACACCCAGCTTTAAAGCCATTATGATATACTGTTATGTGACCTTGAGATTCGTTTGATGTACATCAAAGGATCAGTCAGACTAGCCTTTTGTCTTGTCCACAAGGTGTTTCAAACAGAACCTTCAGTTTTGTCATAAAATGTTCCAGGGGTGCAGAGACTGAAATTGATCATAACTCCTGGAGTATCAAGGATGGATATGAATGTACCCCCTGATGCTTGAAGGGAAGATGGACAGAATTCAGTATAAAGTTAATGCCACAGTGATATATTGGACTTCAGTGTTTATAAGCAGGAAGCTTTGTGTTTATAAGCAGAAAGCTTTAAGGTGTAATTCGACAGTTAATAGTGTCAATAGTTTCAACCTTTCCTTGTTGCTAATTTAAGGTATTTTTCTTGAGTAAAAAGTTGTCTTTTTTGAAGTCAACTAAATTTTTGCATGAATTATCACCACAAATCACAGCTTTCAAATCCGTGAATTTCAACTCTGTGGGCCACATTCCCTGATTTTTAGGACGTTTAACAAATATTTAAGCTTGTTTATTGGAAAATCTTGTTATTTGGGTGAAAATTGTGAAAAATGAAGTGCAGAGACACACTCTTTCTTGTTATGAAAAATTATCCTTGGGCATTTCTTTATCCAAGCATAAAATGTGATAAAAGTTCAATATCTGGTATTAGAAGATGGTCAATTGGGGATTTAAGTGGTTTTTCAAAATTTTCATTTTATGGCTACTTAATGTAGTTTTAAGCATTTTCACATTATTTCTTTCATGTATCATACTACATGTGTTACATTTTGATGAAAGATGAAAATTTATATGCACAAAGGTTGCTGCAAAAATAATAAAGAATATTTGTTATTCAGGAACAAAATATAAAAACAACATATAAAATTGAAATATTGAGTGTTACTTGTATTCTAATGCCTGTTAAAAAGAAATGCAGCAATATATTTGTTTTTCACTTTTAAATTACTTTCTTAAATCTAACATCTCAAAATATCGATGGCAGAACAAATGTTTAATACTGAATTGTTTAACTTCCAAGAGAAGTAAGTATATCCTTAATGTCACCGCACTTTGTATTTCTCAGACAGCTGAGAAATCAGAGTTTTACACTATCCTGGCTGTGGTCCTTGTGACATATACTTTACTTTGGCTCCCTATGTTGTTTATTAGGTTAGCTAGCTACCACCTACTCTGGAGACCCAACTTCAGATGATGACAAGGCAATTGATGTACCAAGTAAAAAATCAAACCTCATTGATTTAAATATTCTCAGACATGTTTCATAAATCTCCTCTGAAATGGAAGCCATTTAGATTGCTGTAATTATGTTTGCTCTGGTTTAAGTACAAGTGAAATCTGTTGTCTCTTAATATTCACAAACAACCAAACCATCGGTACAAACATAGACACAGAAAAAGGGATACATAAGAACTTTACAGGATAAACAAAATTTTTACAATAACAAAGTATTTAACACTGCTGACCTCACACAGTAAACACCAATCTAATTTGATACAAGGATCCTTGGACAAAAGGCTTCACAGAATCAGGGTGGTTTATACTAGTAAAGAAAAGAGAAAATGATTGTTATTGTTCTCAGGTTTAGCTATTCTGATAAGTATGTGATATATTTGACATTGTATAAGTAAAGAATAGGTAAATAGCTATCAAGGCCCCATGGGCTTCTTGTTTTCTATAACTCACTTATAAAAATATTACTTGGTAACAGATGTAATGACATTTTCATTGATAAAAGAATATTTGTTTTGTTACTGTTTTTTATGGGAATTTTTATTCTTTCTTTGGGTTGATATTGCCTTTTTTCATTAATCAAGAAAGATCTGGGTTTCTTGTCCTGTAAAGTAGGTGAGATTTCCTTGCCTTGGCTGCCCCAGCTGACAAATGTAACCTTGTTTCTTGATCATTGCTAATGTTGTATGTGGATTTGAGAAAATGCAATTAAAGAAATATTTCAAGATTTGTCTTTAAAAAAGAGCAGTTGTTTTATGGATTTCAGTTTTCTCAAATTAAGCATTTGGCTCTTGTATCATAGTGTTAATTGTTTTTTGTTGGACTAATTATTTTCTTGTTGGGTTTCGGAGTTTAACCTTTTGAAGCTCCCAAAGCCAAATAACAAAAACATTTCTTTGGAGCTGACATACCATGTTGTTCAATGTCCAATGAGTATCTTGTGTGCATTAGTCACTACCAGACATACAAACAGGACAGGAATATTGCTGTGTGTGATGAAAATTGTAAACACTTGAATTATGGCCTCTATAACCTATGTTTCCTTCTAAGAATATTGTTTTGCCATGGAACATTTGTGTTAGGTATACATTATTGGGAGAACAGGGTTATTTATCTGTGTAGTTATAAGCACAACGTGCTTGGAAAACCAATATTTGTGCAGATCTTGTCACTGTGTACAGAGTACTTGCTGAACATCTGCAGGACTTGAAAAATGATTTTTTTTGCAATAATTTTGTGATAGTAAAACCATGCTGGGAAAACCATAATGTCACAAGACTAAATTGGTAATAGAAAATACTTTGAGAATCAATAGATGTCTTTCAATTTTCTGCCTGTAAAAGTCACCCGAGAACTTTTCATGGTAGTGCTTGTGCCTTTTAAATGTCAACTTCAGTAATTTTTATTCCTTATGTCTTGTCTGCTGTGAATTCCTAAGGGAAATCTTCATTCCCAATCAGAGGTTTTTTGTGGTGATTTAAAGCAGGGAACTAACTAATCAGAAATGTGAGATGAATATATACATGGCCTCTGTCATGTAATCAGGCTGAGGTAGAGTGCCCAGCTTACACACACTGTTAATCATCGGAGACTGTCAAGGCATTCTAGCCAATTTTTCTGGTTAACGAGACTAGTCATTTATTTTGACCAGACTTGGTCTTATGGAGCCATTAATGGGATTAGGTCCAGTAGTGTCTTCTACACATTACAGATAAGGCACTTTCTTATTATCCCACTACACTGTGTGGTAGGTTTGTCCATGTTCTGATTATCCCACTGTTCTGTGGTAGGTTTGTCCATGTTCTGATTATCCCACTGTTTGTGGTAGGTTTGTCCATGTTCTGATTATCCCACTGTTTGTGGTTGGTTTGTCCATGTTCTGATTATCCCACTGTTTGTGGTAGGTTTGTCCATGTTCTGATTATCCCACTACTGTGTGGTAGGTTTGTCCATGTTCTGATTATCCCACTGTTTGTGGTAGGTTTGTCCATGTTCTGATTATCCCACTGTTTGTGGTAGGTTTGTCCATGTTCTGATTATCCCACTGCTCTGTGGTAGGTTTGTCCATGTTCTGATTATCCCACTACTGTGTGGTAGGTTTGTCCATGTTCTGATTATCCCACTACTCTGTGTGGTAGGTTTGTCCATGTTCTGATTATCCCACTGTTCTGTGGTAGGTTTGTCCATGTTCTGATTATCCCACTGTTCTGTTCTGATTATCCCACTGTTCTGTGGTAGGTTTGTCCATGTTCTGATTATCCCACTGTTTGTGGTAGGTTTGTCCATGTTCTGATTATCCCACTGCTCTGTGGTAGGTTTGTGTGGTAGGTTTGTCCATGTTCTGATTATCCCAATGCTCTGTGGTAGTTTTGTGTGGTAGGTTTGTCCATGTTCTGATTATCCCACTGTTTGTGGTAGGTTTGTCCATGTTCTGATTATCCCACTACACTGTGGTAGGTTCATCTATTATACAGGTATCATATCTTCTAAGTATCATGGAGAGGCATTTCTGGAGTTGTATTGGAATCTTAAGACTGTGAAATGGTTGTGTTTAGAACCTTAGATGGTCAGGAATCTGTAATATTGGAAAATTACCTCTGAAGCTGACATAGCATGTTTTATCACATGGTGTATTGAAAATAGAATTAATGATAAAAGAAAATATGAAAATCAATATAGATTACAATTATATCACACATTTACCATGCATGCTGTGTTCGTTTTAATCATAACATGAAGATTACATGTTAGACAGAAATAACAGTGTTTTTCTATTGTAATATAACTAGGACAGCCATATAGTCAGATCCTTTATGAAAATACTTGTATGAACCAAGACCCTCCGTGCATTTAAAATTCATAATAAAAAGAAATATTTCATGTTGGTTGCATGCTATTTGTCAATAACAGTCAGTTGTGTGTACTTCTTGACCTCCATTCCTGAAATCACACAACTGCCTGTGAGGATGAAATATATTCATATATCTATCAGCTGTGAGCTTCCCTGAGATATGAAACTGATTCGGACAGTAAATACAGATTGTCCTTATTAAGTGATGTACATATGTATTTGAAATAATAAGTGATTTCTAAATATAGATTATTCAGAGTAATAACCTATATTTTATTGTTATCTGGTTACAGGATAGAAGATCAGAAATATGAGATACCCTTGTGTAGGAATGCTTCTGAATCTGTGGATGTAAAGTATGCTCCCTATGTGGGGGGGTCAGCCTCTGCAGCAGAGTTTTATGTCTTTGTTGGAGTCATTGTCTTCCTCTACTGCATGGCTGCTCTCATCCTTTACATCTTCTTTGATGATCAGTACCGAAAGAACAACCTCTTCTCCATTGGGGTAAGTTTAAAGATGAACTAAGTCTGCATGGTTTTATTTATGTGTCTAGATGTAATGTAACAGAACAGGAAATATTTCAAATTAAACCAGTAAGATGATTGTTTTCTGTCCAAATGACTTTCAGTGGCGGCTATTATGGTAAGAGGAAGTAAATAGTTGAAATCGGGATTTCTTTCTGATACCATGTTAGACCGTAAAAGTGCACCTGTACCTATTAGCAAACCCCTATATTTTACAACGAAAGAGATTGGGTGCACTAATTAAAACCTTTAAAAAGTTACTTGGCAGACTGATCTGCCAAACTGTATTTCTGTTCCAGAGAAATAGAAAAATTCATTTTATTTCTAAGCCAATGACAATTGAAGAAAGGATGTAGTGATTGGCAGTTGCAACTAGAGATATGATATCAAACTATTAATTACAAAATTCCAAATCAATTCATAAATTGTAAGTTAAAAAGTAACAATTATTATTGTTTTATAGTTTTCTATAGTTTGAAATTGATAACATGTCTTCAGAATTTTTCAATTTTTTGGTTGTAGTTTTCAGTGGTTTGGTATTGATAATCTGTCTTTTTCAATTCTAGGTTGTTTCTTGAAGCCCTAGAGAAGCTTCTGAATCTGTATTACACTTGATTTCTCTCAGTTAATTTTAGTTCAGATGTCAAGCATTTCACTACACTGATGTAGGGCAGGTCATTCTTAATTTGACAAAAAATTGTTTTCTTCAGCAAGTACAAGTCTTAAATGCTAGTCATACCACAATTGAATTTACTGTTACATTTATGTACTGTGCTTACTACGACAGTTAAGTCTATCGGAAACACATCTAAATGTGTATTCTTTTGTCATAATTCTTAATTTCTACAGAACAGAACCTACAACTGTTATGTAACTTTTTTATAGGACTTTGTAATATCCTGTGTGTTGACTGCCCTCTGGCTGATCTCTTCGGCTGCTTGGGCTCAAGGATTGGTCAATCTGAAGTATGACACCGACCTTGCGGAGAGTGACCTGTACCGTAGGATTCAAGATTGCCTGATATATGGCTGTGTTCAGGATGTGTTACCAAACTTTGCCAGCCTTAATGTATCAATTGTATGTATACACATCTTTTATACCAAATAAACACTAAAACACACCTTTTCATTTCCTGTATTTAATACAACATAACCTCTATTGTGATATGTTTGTGGGCCTGCAGACTTAGGTAAGACTTGGTTAAAAACTGTGGTCACAGTGTCACCACTTGTCACTGTGATATTAGCCGTATAATGAACTGCTCATATTATGGCAAATGCTAGAAATATCTGATATTTGCTGATTATTGTTCAGTATTTGAAAAATTTGAATTCATTTTTTTTTTTTTTAATTTAATTTGTTCAAGTCATGTTTTCACGTAAAATCCTCTAAATACATTCTGTTGTGATATACAATAGAATTGATTATAAGACCTCTTTTCTTTGATGACTCTTTAAGACACCCTGTCATCCTTGATATTGTAGGGTTGTGACCAGTTATTTGATGATAAGAGGTTAGAAACACTGTGGTTACCATGTATTCAAAAATATATTTTCATGAAAATTCTTTTCTGTTTTTGTTTGCAATTTATGACTTTTTCAGTTCAGTTATCAATGATTTTTTTCTTGGTGTTTTGCTCAAGTTCCTTCGATTAGGAGTTTAGATTTTGACAACATGTCAGTATTTTCTAGTGGCTTTCTATGAGTTGAATGTCGATCAATGCAAATCTGTTCAAATAAATATGATTCTCTGTGTCTATAATTAGACTTGTCCAAAAAAGTTGTTCCACACGAGTTGGGTGACTATATACACCAGCTGTAACATTCTGGTTGAAATGTGTCTGAATGTTATACTTCTTGCACTGTTTGCAGATATTTGGCTTTCTGAACATGGTGGTGTGGGGAGGAAATCTTTGGTTCCTGTACAAGGAAACTCCTTGGTTTAAGGTTCAATCCAAGCCACCTACCTCTCCCACGCAAGGTCAGGACATTGAACCCCAAAGGATCTAAGAATTCCCCTGATGGGATTGAACTAGAAGACCAGCAAGCTAATACATACTGTTAAGGATGTTGTGACTGTAGCATTGACAATGTTTATGTAATGAAAATCAAGGAACATGTATTCCAGCTCCTCCACAAATGAACAAAATCAATGAAATTCCATCAGAGAATGGTCAAGTCTTGACTTTTCCAATAATGTTCACAAATTATTTCTGAAGAGCTAAAAATGAGTTAGACAAGATTGAACCTTTCCATTTTATATCTAACAGAGAAATCAAATGATGTGATTGAGACTACACCAACAGTGTTTGGCTATTTCCAGAATATGTAAAATTCCATTACATTGTATGTGTGTGTGGCTATATATGTAATGAGATCTGATGTTTTCAACATGGTTATAATATAGCTGTAATATGATTGATGTTAGTAATTAAAAGATAGGATACAATTGTGTGTTTGCAATCAAAATATAGATTCTTTTTCAACAATTTTTTTGCATACTTAATACCAAATATTTACCAGAATTTCTTAGGAATCATATGCAGAGTAGATGTTGTCATCTTTTTCTTCCTTGGTAATTACATACAAGGTATATATTGAAGATGTATGTTTTTAAATTGATGGTCACCACTTTCAACTTTGGTGTTTTTGGGTAAGATAGTGATGCACAACTTATCTCTACATTCAGAATAACCCTTGTTTATAAAGACCTTCAATGTAGGACAAGTAAATAGTTGAATACTGTTTGATTGGCCCAAAATCTGATCTGTGCCATATGAAATATCTGTTTGCTCAGTGATGTAATGTGACCAAGATTTCTTACAATAAGAGTCATTAGGTGTGGATTTATCTCAAGCCAGTAATATTTGTACAGACGTTTTGTTACTTGTTGGAAAACATGGATTTATCTGAACTACATGCTGTAAAATGCTATTCCCTGTGAAATTTTTGTTTTGGCATGAATAAGATTATTTGAGATGATATTTCATGGACTGAAATAGAGGTGTGCATACCCTTACTGCTCTTCATTTATAAGAGTATTTTCTTGTGTGTGTACACTTGGGTTGAGAATTTAACAAGGTCCTTTTCTTTAGTATACCTGGTACATAAAAAACATCAACAATTTTTGAGTTTGTGCTATTCTGGATATTTTCATTGCAAAAAAAAAAAAAAAAAAAATGGAAAAAGTGTTTATTCTATTAGCCAGACAAACAAAGACACTTGCAATAGTTTAAGCCTTGCTATATTCATCTAGAATTCTCTCCATTCCTTAAAGAATTCTACATCTCTGTAAGCATTTTTTTACAATCATATGCAAGTTATATTATCTCATCACACATGAAATAAATAAAGTGACAAGTTTTAGTTTGTTGACAAATGTTTTAAAATTTTGTTGTAAATTACATAAACTTGTATAAAAGTGTATAACTGTGTTAAAATGTGTTTTTGAGGTTTTGGTTAAGATTTTTTTACTGTTTTCTGTTTCCACCACATTGTTGAAATATTTGAAATAATTTATTATTATTATTAGGTACAAGTTTTTGTCAGAATCGTTAACTTGCTTAGTTTGAGTTGTTTGGTTAATAACCTTGTTAGCTTATTAAGATCATGCCTTGTAAATTTTTCATGCTTGTAGATGTTTTGTAGTTATCTCCCTTGATTTTGAAGGGCTATGAAATAATTAAACATTTCTGATGTATCAAACAATAGCTAAATAATCATTCATCTGGAACATAACAGTGACTATGTTGTATTAGTCAGATTACAAGTGTTTTTTTTTTTTAATGAAACAGTGAAATTCTTGTGCAAGAACAAGATTACCCAAGAACTCATGTCCTGTTATATCTTGCAATGATCGGGGTGCTTTTAGTGAACTGATAAAGGCTTGAATTTCCAATCATGCTTTTTATTTTTCATGTTTATTTTTTTAAAAATCAAGTAATCTTTCGAAAGTGCACATTTCAAAATTATTTAAAATTGAAGATTTGTGATACATCTTAAAATTCCATCTAATATGATATTGTACAAAATTCAGTTGATCACTGTGTGTATATATTGTATCAATGTATCAGACATGATTAGAGAATCAAGTGATGGGACTTAATGATATACAGATTATGTGCTACATAAATGATAATGCCTTGAAGACCTTATGATGCTCCGTTGGGATTGGAGTATATACACTGACTTACTGTATAGGAAACCTCTGCAGGAATGATCTATTGAATGATGTGTAGATGATTTGAGTATGCTAGTGTACATAATCTGGTGTTGTGGAAGTGTACATTTTGTCTGTAGCAGGAATTATCTATTTACATGTATTTATATTAACCAATTACAGGTGCCTCACTGTGTAACTAGGTGTCAAGGTATTTTTCAATTTTGTTTAGAATTTCCTACACTGACTAGTTTTTTGTGTTTTTTTTTTTCATTTTCTATTTCCAAAGGCATCTTGGTGTCGACTATGATAATGTATTTTATTTCTGTACATTTTCTATTCTGGATGGCTTCTTGGCGTCAAATGAATATTGTTTATTGTTCCGTTATAACCTGCACTGTTTCTCAGTGTCCACTTGTGATACGCTTGATTTCTCTTTTGTACTTTTTCAATGGCTGACTGTTTTATGGCATCATTTACATTAGAAATGATTTCTGTCTTGTTTCTGTATTCTTTACAAGCCTCTAGGTTTTTCTCATGTGATTGTAATTACAGCAGTTAAGCATCTGGAAATATTGTTATGTCTATCTGTTAGGAGATACTAAAATGGGCTCTGGCAAAGCCGACCATTGTTGTCACGTCAAACTGGGTACCTACAGTTTACACTGAATACAAATCCTCAAAATGATCCTTTTTTCAGTTTGAAAGAAATGAACACCAAAATAAAAGAACTAAGGTTTCTAATTCAATATACATCTGTATTGTCAAAATTTTATGTAAAGGTCTGTAGTTGTAAAAATGTTTATGATAATGGAACCTGGAATCTGTGTTTTACTTTTTGATTATTGACTTCTTTGGTGTATAAATAATTTGTAATTTGATTCAGATGAATGATGATAAAAATCTCGCATAATATCATTATTTACTTACTATTTAAAAATTGATGTCAGCTAGATTTTCTTTCTCAAGCATTTAAAAGACCCAGGTGTAGGAATACTTCTAAATACTTAGATAAAACTAATCTTTTTAAACTATTAGCTCTTGGTGTATGTTTTTCATTGGAAAAAAAAGCATTCCATAGTTTAGAAATTTCTTTGAGTAGAAAGGTTTCACACTTTGATGTTGATTTTGTGTGTTAAATCTGCTGAAAGAGAAATGTATAACGGGAGTGTTGAATACATTGATAACGTAGTTTACTGAGGAGTAATACATTAGTAGTATAGTTTATAGAGTGTTGAATACATTGATAACGTAGTTTACTGAGGAGTAATACATTAGTAGTATAGTTTATAGAGTGATGAATACGGTAATCAACTATTTAAGTGTACATCATTTACCAAGTGCTGAATATATCAAAATCATAATACATTTCAAGGTGAATATGTATGTATTTGTTGATGGATAAATACACAGAAAATGTAGTTTATGAAGTGATGAACACTTGTTAGAGTGAGACTTACAGTTCACATCTCATTTTGCATTTATTCACAAAAAGAAACTAATCAAATCAACAACGAAGTACTTATTTGGTAGAATTGACAACAAGACAATATAAATCTAAATGAACAGATGAAAAATGTTGGAACTTTTACTTGATTTTCTAAGAGATAGTAACAGTTTGAATTTCATAATGATTGCTAGCTAACATGTGAATATGTGTTTTAATTAACAAGTTACGACTATGGCACTTTGGCTATATGATAAAGATATTGATATTTTTTCTTGCTAAGATCTGATGCTGATAACTTTATTCTTTTGTTCATGTGATGTGTGAAAAGTGCTAGTTCTTTCTTCATTGTTTATTCAAGCCATGAGTTTAATTAAAGTTTTCATTTAAATCTAAACCAATGTTTTAATGCCATTGTTATTCAGAAAATGCCTTTAATTTTAAGAACGTATTCGATGCATTCCTGTAAATTTTATCTTGTGCTGCCTAGGTTGATAGAGGTAGTTAGGTTTTACTCATTAGAAGGTCTGAAGTTTATATCCTTACCTATGTTAGGTACCACATCAACTGTATTATGATGCATGGTCAGCTGTAGGGGAATATCACTTTATATTTGTGCTGCAAGTATGTGTAAGGTATGTATTATCAGTGTTAAATGATGCTAAAGTACTCCATCAAATGCTGAGGATAGTTAAAAGTGCAGCAAAAACCAATGTTGTATGGTGTTTCATGTAAATCAGCAGTCTGGCCAAATTTAGCTTGATGTGTTACATTATATTAGTATGTGCTGAGACTTAGCTTAATTTTTGTAATGTTATCAGTCATAAAAATAACTTTATATGAAATGAAACCGATTGGTTAGGTTTCATTTTATCTCAGCAAGGATACAAAATAAATCTCAGCTGATTGGTGTAATCAAACAGGAAACAAAATAAATCTCAGCTGATTGGTCAAATTTAACGGGATACAAAGTTAAACTTGGCTGATTGGTCTAATTTAACAGGATGCAAAATAAATCTCAGCTGATTGGTGTAATCAAACAGGAAACAAAATAAATCTCAGCTGATTGGTCAAAGTTAACTAGATACAAAATAAAGCTCAGCTGATTGGTCAAAGTTAACTAGATACAAAATAAAGCTCAGCTGATTGGTGTAATCAAACAGGAAACAAAATAAATCTCAGCTGATTGGTCAGATTTTGCTTACCCAGTTAGCCTAGGCCAGATAAAGCTTTTGTTACATAGTGATGTGGTGAGATGCATCTTTTCGTATCTTAAGATTTAAGCAGGGTTTGTTGTTATTGGTTGTGTAGGATTAATGTTAAAGTGATAGCAGCATCTACTCACTGGTGGTATATATGCCTTCTGTAATAAAGTTTTGTATTAAGAAAATAAGTGTTTGTTATCCTTCAGCAATTATATTTCAATGGTACTATTTGTCTAGAGGTCTAAATACACTTACTGTCCTTGCTTTGACCTTCATATTTGTTGTCAGTTTCATAAAGGAGGGTCAAGCACATGAAAACATTAAATGTCAAACAGGAGAGATGTATTCTGTCTTCTAACTACATTAAAGAACTAGACACATCCGTAAGTAGATATGAATTTATCATGAAAATAAGATGTAAATACCATCATGAAACAATGTGGTAGTAGCTTTCCAATAGGAAGTAAAGATGGGAATATGTTAGGGTATGTACCAAGATTAAGGAAGAGTCGAATTAATATAGATTTGAATTATGCTTACCATTACATTAACATTACATTAAACCACAGTTATCTTTCGTAATCAAAAAAATTAAAGTTAAGGACGAAAATCAAATCAAATATTGACTGCCCGTTATTGTCATTTTGTCCATAGAAGACCTAGCATGTTGAAAAGTGACTACCGTATTTCCATTTGGTCCCTGGAAAATCAAGCATGTTAGAAGTGCAGTCCACAAGCTGTAAACATTTCAACAAGCAAGCTTCACACGAAAACATAATAATGTATTATGTCAAGTTAAAATTGATTCCTGTATTTCTGAAAAACTGATGCAGATTCTTCAAAAACCCACTGATTACATGTATTCATGATTCTGAAGAATCTGAAAGTTATTTTGATGAAAATCAAAAACATGTGGAGAATGCATTTACAGATTACTCTGTAAAAATCAATCTTAAAATGTACAAACTCGCACGTACATTACATAAACAACATCAAGCATAACATCAAAGAGCAAAATTATAGACCTGTCACTGGTCACAAAAGAGAGGCTCTTCAAAGACATATTCAATTTACTATAACTGAGAGCAGGCATTTGATGAAATGTGCTCTTTAGCATGGTACGACAAATGGAAGATGTGAGATGTGGAAAGATCAGGACGTCAAGGCTTCATTCAGAAGAATTTAATTTTATATTGGTCGGAGGAAGGTCTGAGTATCTCCTTTATACAGGGATGCTACTGAAAGTGTGGTGAGAAAAATATTTATATCCAGTGAATAAAAAATGGACATCCCACTAAATACTGCAATGGTTAGTGAAAACCAAAGCCCCCCAATGATATTGGATTGGTTGACATATTCCCAGCGTTGAGGTACTTTTGATTGTAAATGTTGAGGTATGGCTGTTCATTAGTTCTTCTTTCAAAGTGTTCAATTCTGAAACCTTTCAAGACTTTTTAAAAAGATTATTCGGTGGTAAAATGTCCGAAAATGTCCAGGACTTGTTTTTAAAAAAAGACAAAAGTCGCTGGTAAAATTGCAAAATGTTTCTAAAGTTTAAGAAACTTTTAAGGTATTAGTTAGCAAGGCTTTAAATACACAATATTGACAGTATTGTGTATGACTTTACTTCATATGTAGCATGAGAAACTGAAATCTTTGTAACATAGCAATTTGTTAATTAGTTTTAACTTGAAGATTCGAAAATATTATCTGGGACCAGTTACAAAATCTCACTATGACCCATTAGAAGACATTTGGTTCAAAGCATTATTACTGGTGCCAATAGACTGACTAGTTAAACTTTATACTGAAATTGGCTGGCTTCCCCTAAGATGCTAACAACGTAAAATAATTAAGTTTTATAAACTGGTTCATGGATTATCAACCTTAATTCCTTCACGGCATACAACCTTCTCCTTCAACATGACCACAACACTCGTGTTCCTGATAACTTTCGTCCCATGTATGTCATCTATAGATGCAATTTCTATTACAATCTCAAATTTACACTCACCAGGTTGTTGACTGTGGCCATAGCCAAATTTCGGAATGGACATGTTAAAATCTCCTGGTTGAATACAGCTGTAGAATCCTATATGAACAGTTGAAAACGTTTTTGGGTGAAACATTCCGCCAATTGCATGAACAGAAATGCATGTGAATTTCGGTGGCATGTTGATGGGTTCTTTCCAGGCGGGAAATGAGTTGAAATGTTAAAATGAGTTAAGGCAGAATTCAACCAGAAAAGTTACTGGGTTTGATTAGAAAATTCCACCCTGAAATTCCATTAATAATAGGCAGAATCCACGGCGAAAAATTCTGTCAAGTAATAGGAGGGATCTGCCGAGAGAGATTCTGCTAAACAATAGGCGGAATCCACCTAGAAAGATTCTACCAAATAATAGGCAAAATTAGAACCTGCCGAGAGAGGTTCTGCCAAAAAATGTCGGAATCCGCTGAATCCTTCGAGAGAGATTCTGCTAACGATAGGCGGAATTCCCTGAGAGAGGTAGTGCAGAACAATAGGCAGAATCCCTTGAGAGAGGTACTGACAAACGATAGGCGGGATTCCCTGTTAAATGATAGGCGGAACTTCTTAGAGAGGAACTGCCAAACAATAGGCGGAATGCCCTGAGAGAGGTTTTGTTAAACGATAGGCGGAATTCTCTGAGAGACGTTTAGCTAAACGATAGGCGGAATTGTCTGAGCGAGGTACTGCAAAACGATAGGCGGAATTCTCTGAGAGAGGTTTTGCTACACGATAGGCAGAATTCTCTGAGAGAGGTACTGTCAAACGATAGCCGGAATCCCTTGAGAGAGGTACTGACAAATGATAGGCGGAATCCTTGAGAGAGAGTCTGCCAAACAACAGGCAGAATTTGTTTAGAGATACCAATTTTCCCCCTCTGTTTTTCTTCTTGCAGGTAACTCATCAAAAAAATATATAACCGTTTGATACTAGATGAACACTCAAGAACTGTTTTCACAAATTTGTCTTTCTTGAAACATTGAAAAATCATTAACAAATTAATTGTGAGTGAATTTTAATTGCAGCTTTACCAAAATACTGTATAATCATAATGGCTAAGAAAGCATTTTCTTTTGGTAATTTGTGGTCTCCACTACTGCAACTATGGTTACCATGTTGGAACTAAACACTGAAACATACTTCAATAACAACAAATCACTGACTATCTCTTTTTTTAAAAATACAAACAAATAATTTTCATTGAATTAACAAATGAAATAGCTAGTCTATAGGTCTTGATAAGAATTTTTATTTTTTGTATGATGACGTTTCCAATATGGTTGCCATGGTGGCCATCTTGGAACTCATTTGACATTAAAATTCTTTTAATATGAAAGAATAATCCTGTTCACAACAATGGTCTTTGAAGTTTTGAAACGAAGCAAAAGATTATGATATTTTCACTGAATTACAAGCGAAACTTTACAAAATGGAAGTTTGTTAGGTTTGAGTAAGCATTTTTTCGTGGTCATGTGTGGTTTCCAATTTGGTAACCATAGTGGCCATCTTGGAACTCAATTTAACATCAAATTCTTTTGATATAAAGTATTACTGATGGCTTGTTCTTATCGATGGGATTTTGAGTTTGGAAACAATGCAAAAACTTGTAGATGATTTTAATTGTGTTTCATGTGCAACTTAATCAAAATTTGGATTACAAAACATTCTCTTCATGTATATCTTTTTAATGATATCTTCATTTAACAAGTCACAAAATTTTCATCCGTCTTGAATGAAACTTCAAAATTAAGCAAATAAAATTTGAAAGACCTGTATTCTCATTTAGGAGACTTACCTATACGAGAAGCTCTTTCTAACCGCGCTGTTTATTTCAGCTAGTAATACGCGTCTTATTTTTATTTAATTTTTCATCAAACGTTACATATTTTACATCAAAACAAGTTTATTGCACCATATATTAATAGTACTCCAGTGTAAACCTCATGCACTTAAGTGCAAAAACCGAGGCTTCTAGGCCTTAACGGTCATCTGACTATAAAGACCTACATATGAAAGATGCCAAATAGGCCTAAAATAAATTGCTCAGCTACTCTATAGTTTACATAAAAGACATGCACCACACCAATATCATTACACTGCTCGTATTTTTTGTTGAAAAAGCAAGCTACAGACCTACTTCCATCACCCTGGGCCTTTTGGTTATCAAGAAGAAGTCAATTAAAGATTTCAAAATATTTCACATCCGTGATCTTGAAAGCGGGTCATTGTCATTGCTATTTAAAAACTTGGTTGCCCTACATCCTAGCATGCTACTATCCAATAGCAGGACCCAGGTTTTTTTGCTTATAGAGAAGAAGTCATTTAAACCTTTAAAGCGGATCAAGGTCATTCATTTTATGTAGGGATCGAACGCTCTGAATCTAAGAAATGATCCTCCATTCTCAATGATGTTTCACACGAAATTTCGTTGAAATCCATTCAAGAGGAGTAGCATTTTAAAGCTAAATATTGTCCAACTTCCACTTTGGGGGCCTGCCTCCAAGTCTCTAGCGGTTGAATAACGTTTCTGAAGTTAAGGAATAATTCTCCACTCTCAGTGATGTTTCACACCAAATTTGCATGTAATCCATTCAAACCCTGGAAAAGAGTAGCGTTTTGAAGCAAAATATTGCCCCCTTAAGCAGCCCCACCACGAAGTCCCTTGGGGTCGAATTAAATTTCTGAATTCAAGAAATTGCTTACTCTTACTGATGAATTAAGGTCAAAGCTTGTTGAAATCCAACCACGCAGAAAGGAAGAACCTGGTTTCAAAGCTAATTTTAGCACCCCTCTCTTTGCTGCCCTGCCCCTCTACCCCTAGTGGTCAAATCAAAATACTGAACTTTAGAAATGAATACCCTCACCAAATGATGCATTAGACCAAATTTAGTTGAAATCCACCACGGTATGAAAGAGGAATAGCGTTTAAAAGAAAAGGTTTATGCACGGCGGACGGCAGAGGACGCTCGGCGTACGACGACGGACGAATCACGATGGCTATAAGTCATCTTGACACTTCGGGTCAAATGACCTAAAAATTACACTTAAATGTGAAAAATTACACACAAGTGTGTAAAATAGATACTTAAGTGATTTTATTAAGTGGTTTGGGTAAGCTGAAACGTCCCCAAGATCCCACGGGCTAAGACCCCAGGGACTAGGTATGAACATCGGCCCAGACCAAAGGCACAAGGGAGGAACCCTATATCAATTCTGGACTCATGTCGTATATTTACATTTGATTGGTAGTATGATTGAGACAGTGTTAGAGACATCGTGCTCACTTCTCAACAGTGTCCATTTTCTATGAGTGGTAAATAAAAGTTTCAATTAAGTTACATTTTCCACGGCTAGCCGGGCCCTTTTTCAACGTTACACCGCCCATCGCTGTCCCGAAAGAAATCGTGGTCATATTTTCGCTAGTGACATTAACAGGCTTCCGTAACTGTTTAGTTAGTTCTAGTTTTTAGTTTAAACATATTTCATAGGCAAATAATGACAAAGGGATGAGAAAAAGTGATCGTAAGCTCTGGAGTAACGAGGATGTATATTTGTATGCAATATATTCTCTGTGTGCAAAAAAAATGTTCAGTATTTAAATATTTGTTAGTGGAAAAAAACTTGCTTTTTAGATTATGATGTAACAAAAATCATGAGTCCTTGGTGAAACTTATCTAAAATACATAAAAAAAAATGTCGTCAAAGTTACGATTTGTTCATCGTCAGTAAACCACGATCCTGACGATAACATTCGATCATCGTCAGTAACACAGGATCCTGACGTGATTATTCGATCATCGTCAGTAACCCACGACCCTGACATGATCATTCGATCATCGTCAGTAACCCACGATCCTGACATGATCATTCGATCATCGTCAGTTAACCACGATCCTGGCGTGAACATTCGATTATCGTCAGTGAGTCAAGATCTTGGCGTGAACATTTCGATCATCGTCAGTAACCCACGATCCTGACATGATCATTCGATCATCGTCAGTAACCCACGATCTTGGCGGGAGCATCAGGACACGTGGTATACATACGATGGAATTCGTTTGACATTTCTGTTATTGCATTGTTTGGATTTTATGTGCGTCAGAACTCTTTGCTATTAGCTGTTTCGTGACATTTGTTAAGTAAAAACTTAAAAAATCGTCATAGCTATTTGAAAGCACTTATGTGATTTTTTTTTCAACTAGCGAATTTACAAAGCCTATTTTTCAAATATAGTCTACAATTTAAAATGTAGAGATGTACGTTTTGGTACATACGTACTGTACCAAGAACAACGCAGTAGATCGAGTTGCCTCCCTTCCTTCCAGAGCAATACATCTTCTTACTAATCGATGATGGATCCGGAGAGGTAAAAGTCGGCCATGTTTCTGGAATGGCTTCAAGCATCCCATGATGGTAACATCTGTAGAAATTGTTGTGGTGATTATTCTGGCTGTACGTTTGACATCTTCCGCGCGTGGTGACCGTATACGTCAACCCAGGTCTGACGTCACACTGATCTCAGTTTGTAAGTACATGAACGGCCACAAACACCTGTATCAGGAATGTAAACAAGTTAACAACTCAGATAAAATACACACTCCACTATAACGTACAGTGTTGTTTGACTGGGGTTGTTTACATCCAGATAAGTCTTTACAGCAGCAGAGAACCTTGTTGCTGCTTTATCCAGTGTTTAGTAGTGAATTAGAGCATTTATATTGGTAAAGGGAGACAACCTCTATGCAATTAAAGGAATTCAATGTGTTGAAAACCTGATTAGTACAGTTCTTTCACGTGACGACGTCATCGATATCGCTTTGCACAACTGACTGGGTATAATCACATCGATCACAGTCAATCTTGGTCATTCCTATTGATATGACACCACTGTAGATACGATAAATATTATATGATTAACATACAGTAATTACTATTGTCATGTTAAAGATTGTACTAATTACCAAAAACGGTGATAAACATACTACTTTGTTACAATATATCATTGTAGTATTTTTCCTTATGTGTGGTTCCATATAACATGGTGTTTATCAGTTTTGGAACTGTGTCAGAGTAGAGTCTCTTGGGTTTCGGACAATTGGTGTTTACATAACATTATTTTCTCACATTTCATTCTTTTGAGAAGTAGGACTCCAAAACTGAAGCTCTAAAGCTTCATTTGTCCATACACATTTGTTCATAAATTTATTGATAAACAAGGCTAATAGCAATGGCTTTGGTCCTAAATAGTCTTCATCCCCAATTCCAAATCACAAACACTAATGTTGTCAACCCTAAACATGGCTGCTTTGCATATCCTAATACACAAAAAACAAGATATTCCAAATCACAACCTGTATCGTTTTCTAGCCTGAAGATAGCTGCTTTACATATCTTACATATAATTACAAAAACAAAATATTAACAGCTAAAATTCCAAATCACAATCACTAACGTTGTCAAGCCTGAAGGTGGCTGCAAGGCTTGGAAATATTAGTGATTTGGAATTTTGGTTGCCATATTGATGTTTCGTTTTTATATTTATATGTGTATATATATAACAGAAAGTTAAAATTCACAGTAGTGTCCAGTACATACAAAATATACAGAAAAATAATAAGACTGCTAATTGTGAAATGCCTGAAGACATGAAAGAGCTGGTGGTGCTTTACTAATCAGGAGTGTTTCCAGTATAGTATTTTCATTTTCTATTGATACTAACAAAACAAAGATGGAGGTGTTGGTAGGACTTTAGATTTATCTGTTGTAATTTTATATTCACTGCTGTAAATTTGTCACTTAATAAAAGAAATAAGACCCATCCATCCTTAATTGATAAAATGAATCAATAAGTAAACAAAACAGAAAGGTTCTGAACTGAACACCAAGAGATGTTACTTGACCTTTGAAATGTTTAAATTGTTTCTACAGTAAACTTAGAGAGGAAATGTGGAATTGGTCTTCGGAAGTTAAGTCAATATGAGAGCTACCAAGTCACATGGGACGGAGGGGAGATTGAAGGCAACTGTCAGAAAAAGTTCCTTGCAGAAAACCCGTATAATGTTGCAACTCAATACAAAGTGTGCTTTCGGTTTTTGGCTTATGACATTCAAGATTGTAGAGTGAAAGTGAGATTCTCTGAGACTTCATGGATGTATTTTAATTACGTACACGACACAATGGTAAGAAATCTCTAAGAACTTCCTGCTGGAATGTCTTCTGCTACCTGTACACTCTGTCTTCATTTCTCACATGATTTACACTAGATAAAGAAATCTGTAACATTTAAATGCAGATGTTTTGTTCAGTGACAGGCTAGCAAAAATGTTCAAAAAAAAGTGTAAATGCATATCTTTGTATAGTTCTGATTGACTAAGCTATAATACCCCAGATGTTATAATCACCACCTATGTATAGTTCTGATTGACTAAGCTATAATACCCCAGATGTTATAATCACCACCTATGTATAGTTCTGATTGACTAAGCTATAATACCCCAGATGTTATAATCACCACCTATGTATAGTTCTGATTGACTAAGCTATAATACCCCAGATGTTATAATCACCACCTATGTATAGTTCAGATGTTATAATCACCACCTATGTATAGTTCTGATTGACTAAGCTATAATACCCCAGATGTTATAATCACCACCTATGTATAGTTCTGATACATCTGATTGACTAAGCTATAATACCCCAGATGTTATAATCACCACCTATGTATAGTTCTGATTGACTAAGCTATAATACCCCAGATGTTATAATCACCACCTATGTATAGTTCTGATTGACTAAGCTATAATACCCCAGATGTTATAATCACCACCTATGTATAGTTCTGATTGACTAAGCTATAATACCCCAGATGTTATAATCACCACCTATGTATAACTTACCAAACAGGCATTTTACCCTTAACATTATATTTGACATATTGCTATTGCAGGAATATGGCTGTAAAGACAGCATGCCACTTGACCAATGGTGTGGTGGTTGGATTGGTCAAGCCTGGTTTAGCCTTCATTCATATCAAAACTTGCCTGTACGTGGGAACTTCATAATTGAAGTTACAGCCAAAGCAGGTAAGTTTCTGACAAGTGGCATGAGAATTTTCAGTGAAAGTTAATAGTTATTACATAATTTTTCTGCTATTTTTCAGTAGCTGAGATGGCATGATGTGCCAGTGAGCTTAAGCTTTGGTAAAGGTTTTCATCATCTTGCTGTTCGTTTGTCAACTTTTAACTTTTATAGATAACGTTTCACAACTGGGAACTGATGTTTGCCCAGGAGGTACCTTGGTTGGAGTACAGTGTGTGCTTCTCATATGAATGACCTTGACTGATTTACAAGGTCAAGGGGGTAAGATAAGTCAGAAACCTGTAACCTTTATAATGGTACAGATATTTGTCTTATTAAGGTGTGTAAACTAGCTTTGTTGATCCAGAGCCTAATGAGAAGTTAGCTAAAAGTTTGCTTTAAAACACTACTCTTCTTTAATGCCTGAGTGGATTTTAACATATAATATAACCAAAAATGTAATGTGGTCTGAAACATCACTTAGACATACTTTAGACAGGTTTAGGGGATGGATATCCCCAAGAGGGGGAATTGGGTTGGTTTTTTTTTAGCCCACCATCACCAGATGGAACCATGTCGGATGTTGACTTTGCAAGTTCGTCATCTCTATTTCTTGAGAAGTACTAGATAGATATTTCTTTAATTTCATATGACGTTTCCCCTTTGTCCCTAGATGTGCCCACATTAGATTTTGGGTCTGATCAGAAAAGCAAAATGACCAACAGGCAACTATCATGGATTTTGACTTTGAAAGTTGTCATCACTATTTCTTCAGAATACAGCATAGATCTTGTCTCAAATTTCATGTGTATGTTTCCCTTGATCCCTGTTTGTGCCTGTTTGATTTTGGTACTGATCAGAAAACAGAATGGCTGGCAGGTGAACTTTAGGAATACCTAATGCAGCATTATCAAATTCCAAATGAAGGTTCCCCTTGGTTCCTATTAGTGCTGGTTTGATTTTGTGATTGATCAGAGAAAAGAAAATGCCATCTTGGATTTTTACTTTAAAAATGTATCCATTTTTCTTCAGAAATACTGGATGGATCCCTCTCAAATTTCGTTTCTAGGTTTCTCTCTGTCCTTAGTTATTCTCGTTTGATTTTGGAACTGATTGGAAAAAAAATGGTTTCCAGGCAACCATCTTGGATTTGGCAGTAAAAAATTGTTGGTGCTATTTCTGCAAAGGAATGTTCAAATTTTGTATCATTAGAGCAAAAACAGAGAAGAGAAGAAAAAAGAAGGGATATTGTTAAACTTTCAAAGAACAAATAAAGATCAAACAATGGTGAGCACCAAGATCCGTCTTGGATTTCTTGTTATAAAATCTTCCCCTCAGTCATTGTGCTGGTAATTATTGGATCATAGCAGATATGTAATGCTGAAAAAGTTGGTCAATTATGTAAATGTATAAATGAAATTGCTGTGACTCTCTGGGCCAAAGGAGTGGGTCCCAATGAGGGTAACTGAGACAAGGCAATTATACTTGTAATTCTGGTCGTCCTGCTGAGCATTTGTAAGGACACTAATCCAATTAGTTTGTAACATCATAACCAAGAACAGAAATGTTTTGTAAAAGATGGAAGTGATGGACATTTGATTCCCAGTGGCCAGAGAGGTGGGGAGAGGGGAGCAGTAAGGGCTGAGACAATGGATTTAAATCTTTACTTATTATGGATACATGACCACTATCAGGTATATGAAGACTACTGACCTACCCCTGATCACAACTGTAGTCTTGGAAAACAGAATTTTATAGTGGGAAATTGCTAAAAGCTGTGTAAATGTCATAGGGAGGATAATTCTCCCAGGTGTACATCATTACAGTCAGTTGACCATGTAGGCAAGTTGGCCTTTTGTTTAGTAGTATGGCTTGAAAAAAAGAACAAAAATCATGTTATTTAAGTTCTTTTTCATAATATAAACATTTTGTTGACAGAAACTAACCTAGAGGTGACAGAGTGTATTGGAATTGTTGTGGGTGGTGTGGCAGGCATACTGTTACTATTCTTTACATGGGTCTGTATTGGAGCAAAATGTCAGATCGCTAGAAACAACATGCGTCGTGCACGCCTTAGGGACGTCATGAATATGAGGTCAATGCGCCAAAATCGCATACTACTAGACTCTAGTGCCTCATTCACAGGAGAAGAACATTTTACAGCTTCACATTCACTGCAGCCATCTGCACCACCCGTACCAACAGATATCACTCCTTCGCAATATTCTCCACTTCAACCACAATCTTACAGAGGACAATCTCCATCCTCATTTAGAATTGGTCGTTCGTCACCCATAGATGCAGGTAAGTTTGTCCAATACTTGTATAATGTTTTGTGTACAGAATATGCAGAATGATGATGAATGGAGATTTTTTTTACGGCCATTATAATGATCTCTTTGGGAAATACTTCATTACCTTGTACAAAATGAATTTAGAAGTGTTTGTTGCTTGTTAGTATCCAAGTTTGTCCCATTGTTTACCTTGTTTCTTTTTGGAATTATGGCATTGTGTACTTGGATTGAGAAAGATTTAGATGGAAAGTGTCATTGATGAAGCATAAGATGCTCACCCTCTTAACGTCCTTGTAATTTGCCAGGGGTCTCTGTGTAAGTAATCTCTTTGTCTGTCCGTTAGTGAATGCGCCCATGCATGTGACTGTGATAACCTTTTATACAAGATACCTTGTGAACCCATGGACAGATTAAGTTCTTGTTCACACTATCACATCATCCACCAAGGTCTACACATGCTAAGATTTTGGTGATCATCAGTAAAGATCAAAGGTGAAAGGTCACCTTTGACCAAGTAAACCTGGTACATGTGATATCACATGAACCCATGGATTGAATTTGTTCATATTCACAACATAGCATCACTCTTGCAATTTTTAACCAATAAGATTTTGGTGATCATCATCCAACTGTCAGAACCGGGGTCAACCATCAAAATCTGGGGCCAATGGTCAAAATTCTGATGTCAACTGTCAAGTTCTGAGGCCAGCTGTCGAATTCTGGAGTCAACTGTCAAGTTCTGGGGCCAACTGTCGAATTCTGAAGTCAACGGTCAAGTTCTTGGGCCAACTGTCGAATTCTGAAGTCAACTGTAAAGTTCTGGGGCCAACTGTCGAATTCTGGGGTCAACTCAAATTATCCACAACAGAAAAAAAGAAATAAAAGTTTTTCTTCAAAATCATGCTTTTTCATTGCAGATGAAAGAACTTCAATAAAATGTAGTCTGGAATACATAATTATAAAAATTGTGGCTTCATATTGAAAGACATAGAGAACACACTTGAAAGTTATTTTGTTTAGCATATTGTAATATATGTACATCTTTGTATATTCAGATAACAGCACAGATGACGTATTGCCCAGCACCAACATGACTGGCGATCTACCACCCCCATATCACTCAGTTGTCTCATCAGAACCTGATCAAACAGAAAACCTGCTGCCCACAGAACAAAGAGATATCGCACCTCCTTCCTATGATGATTGCATGCAATATGCCATAACATGAAGTAACGATTAAATCTTTGTGGAGAGATATGCAGTTGTTGACAAAAGGAAGCTTCTCAATACGATGATATCACTTACCTATATCACTAAATAGTTCCATACCGGTAATTGATGTAGGTCTATAGACTTGGATTGTGTCTGTCTGTCCTTCTGTCCACTTTCTTGTCCAGACTTTCACTTACCTATATCACTAAATAGTTCCATACCGGTAATTGATGTAGGTCTATAGACTTGGATTGTGTCTGTCCGTCCTTCTGTCCACTTTCTTGTCCAGACTTTCACTTACCTATATCACTAAATAGTTCCATACCGGTAATTGATGTAGGTCTATAGACTTGTATTGTGTCTGTCCGTCCTTCTGTCCACTTTCTTGTCCAGACTTTCACTTACCTATATCACTAAATAGTTCCATACCGGTAATTGATGTAGGTCTATAGACTTGTATTGTGTCTGTCCGTCCTTCTGTCCACTTTCTTGTCCAGACTTTCACTTACCTATATCACTAAATAGTTCCATACCGGTAATTGATGTAGGTCTATAGACTTGGATTGTGTCTGTCCATCCTTCTGTCCACTTTCTTGTCCAGACTTTCACTTACCTATATCACTAAATAGTTCCATACCGGTAATTGATGTAGGTCTATAGACTTGGATTGTGTCTGTCCGTCCTTCTGTCCACTTTCTTGTCCAGACTTTCACTTACCTATATCACTAAATAGTTCCATACCGGTAATTGATGTAGGTCTATAGACTTGTATTGTGTCTGTCCATCCTTCTGTCCACTTTCTTGTCCAGACTTTCACTTACCTATATCACTAAATAGTTCCATACCGGTAATTGATGTAGGTCTATAGACTTGGATTGTGTCTGTCCATCCTTCTGTCCACTTTCTTGTCCAGACTTTCACTTACCTATATCACTAAATAGTTCCATACCAGTAATTGATGTAGGTCTATAGACTTGGATTGTGTCTGTCAGTCCTTCTGTCCACTTTCTTGTCCAGACTTTCACTTACCTATATCACTAAATAGTTCCATACCGGTAATTGATGTAGGTCTATAGACTTGGATTGTGTCTGTCCGTCCTTCTGTCCACTTTCTTGTCCAGACTTTCACTTACCTATATCACTAAATAGTTCCATACCAGTAATTGATGTAGGTCTATAGACTTGGATTGTGTCTGTCCGTCCTTCTGTCCACTTTCTTGTCCAGACTTTGCTACACTACTTATCACTGGAACTTCTTACATGGATCCAGATTTCTTCATGTTGTTGAGGTGAGGTGCCACTTTGACCTACATTGTGACCTTTGATCTACTTTAAAAAAAAGAGTTGTCTGGGCTCTATCTCCTCATACGTAGGATATGGTAAAGATGACCATGACAATGTCTGGCAACATCAAAAAATGCATGATGTGTCTTAAGCTTGTCAGTTACTTCCTGATGTTTCTGAACACCCCACGCCTTCTTGTTAGCTAACACAGAGGACTGACACATCCATTTCTGCAGATCTTAAACATACATGGGTATCTTGGGGGCTATGTCATTCTCCCCTCGACCAAAATTCAACAGTAAGCTCAAATGACGAGTAGCTTGTTGAATTGTGTCTGTTCTGTGATGTGACATATATAATGTACCTAGGTACATGTTAAAATTAAACTGTCTCTCTGAGGTACTAACAAGTGTGTACCTACATTTTCAAAATCATAATGAAATTGCTTTTTATATTAAGACTCGACTTTTATCAACACACTGCTTATCTAATATATGTGTTGAGTTTAAATTTTACTATTGATATGTGCTGATAAGTACAATCAGTTATTGTGTTTGAAAGACTTGATCAGCAATCATTGTATTGTAATTCTCAGCATAATTCAGGGGACTCGAAGAAATCTGTCAGAGTTTGATTTGACACAGTGTGTTGTTTAGAATCTGTGTGAGGTGTGAAAGTGTTTATTATTTATGAAATAAATGTGCTTAAAGTGAATCAGCATCTTGTGTTACATGTGATGAAATTGTAGATCCTGAATATGATATTGAGGTCTTTGATAAAAATTAATCATTTAAAAGCAATACCACAATTGACTTTACAATCCCATAAAATATGTGGTCACTTCAATCAGGCATACTGATGTGCATATTATTTTTTATGTAAATTTGTATTATTATATTGTAAGATTACAGGGTTTATCTGCTCAGCAACAGCCAGGGTCAATAGTTTATAGGGATTATCTCCTCAGCAACAGCTACGGTCACTAGTTTATAGGGTTTATCTCCTCAGCAACAGCCAGGGTCACTAGTTTATAGGGATTATCTCCTCAGCAACAGCTACGGTCACTAGTTTATAGGCTTTATCTCCTCAGCAACAGCCAGGGTCACTAGTTTATAGGCTTTATCTCCTCAGCAACAGCCAGGGTCACTAGTTTATAGGCTTTATCTCCTCAGCAACAGCCAGGGTCACTAGTTTATAGGCTTTATCTCCTCAGCAACAACCAGGGTCATTAGTTTATAGGCTTTATCTCCTCAGCAACAGCCAGGGTCACTAGTTTATAGGGTTTATCTCCTCAGCAACAGCCAGGGTCACTAGTTTATAGGCTTTATGTCCTCAGCAACAACCAGGGTCACTAGTTTATAGGGTTTATCTCCTCAGCAACAGCCAGGGTCACTAGTTTATAGGCTTTATCTCCTCAGCAACAGCTACGGTCACTAGTTTATAGGGTTTATCTCCTCAGAAACAGCCAGGGTCACTAGTTTATAGGCTTTATCTCCTCAGCAACAGCTACGGTCAATAGTTTATAGGCTTTATCTCCTCAGAAACAGCCAGGGTCACTAGTTTATAGGGATTATCTCCTCAGCAACAGCTAGGGTCACTAGTTTATAGGCTTTATCTCCTCAGCAACAGCCAGGGTCACTAGTTTATAGGGTTTATCTGCTCAGAAACAGCCAGGGTCACTAGTTTATAGCCTTTATCTGCTCAGAAACAGCAAGGGTCAATAGTTTATAGGCTTTATCTCCTCAGCAACAGCAAGGGTCAGTAGTTTATAGGCTTTATCTCCTCAGCAACAGCTACGGTCACTAGTTTATAGGCTTTATCTACTCAGCAACAGCCAGGGTCACTAGTTTATAGGCTTTATCTCCTCTGCAACAGCTAGGGTCACTAGTTTATAGGCTTTATCTCCTCAGCAACAGCCAGGGTCACTAGTTTATAGGCTTTATCTACTCAGCAACAGCCAGGGTCACTAGTTTATAGGCTTTATCTCCTCAGCAACAGCTAGGGTCACTAGTTTATAGGGTTTATCTCCTCAGAAACAGCCAGGGTCACTAGTTTATAGGCTTTATCTACTCAGCAACAGCCAGGGTCACTAGTTTATAGGCTTTATCTCCTCTGCAACAGCTAGGGTCACTAGTTTATAGGGTTTATCTCCTCAGAAACAGCCAGGGTCACTAGTTTATAGGCTTTATCTACTCAGCAACAGCCAGGGTCACTAGTTTATAGGGATTATCTCCTCAGCAACAGCCAGGGTCAATAGTTTATAGGCTTTATCTCCTCAGCAACAGCCATGGTCACTAGTTTATAGGCTTTATCTCCTCAGCAACAGCCAGGGTCACTAGTTTATAGGCTTTATCTACTCAGCAACAGCCAGGGTCACTAGTTTATAGGGATTATCTCCTCAGCAACAGCCAGGGTCAATAGTTTATAGGCTTTATCTCCTCAGCAACAGCCAGGGTCACTAGTTTATAGGCTTTATCTACTCAGAAACAGCCAGGGTCACTAGTTTATAGGCTTTATCTCCTCAGAAACAGCCAGGGTCACTAGTTTATAGGCTTTATCTCCTCAGCAACAGCCAGGGTCACTAGTTTATAGGCTTTATCTGCTCAGCAACAGCCAGGGTCACTAGTTTATAGGCTTTATCTCCTCAGAAACAGCTAGGGTCACTAGTTTATAGGGTTTATCTCCTCAGAAACAGCCAGGGTCACTAGTTTATAGGCTTTATCTACTCAGCAACAGCCAGGGTCACTAGTTTATAGGGATTATCTCCTCAGCAACAGCCAGGGTCAATAGTTTATAGGCTTTATCTCCTCAGCAACAGCCATGGTCACTAGTTTATAGGCTTTATCTCCTCAGCAACAGTCAGGGTCACTAGTTTATAGGCTTTATCTCCTCAGCAACAGCAAGGGTCAATAGTTTATAGGCTTTATCTCCTCAGCAACAGCCAGGGTCACTAGTTTATAGGCTTTATCTGCTCAGAAACAGCCAGGGTCACTAGTTTATAGGGTTTATCTGCTCAGAAACAGCCAGGGTCACTAGTTTATAGCCTTTATCTACTCAGAAACAGCCAGGGTCACTAGTTTATAGGCTTTATCTCCTCAGAAACAGCCAGGGTCACTAGTTTATAGGGTTTATCTGCTCAGAAACAGCCAGGGTCACTAGTTTATAGGGTTTATCTGCTCAGAAACAGCCAGGGTCAATAGTTTATAGGCTTTATCTCCTCAGAAACAGCCAGGGTCACTAGTTTATAGGCTTTATCTCCTCAGAAACAGCCAGGGTCACTAGTTTATAGGCTTTATCTCCTCAGCAACAGCCAGGGTCACTAGTTTATAGGCTTTATCTCCTCAGCAACAGCTACGGTCACTAGTTTATAGGGTTTATCTGCTCAGAAACAGCCAGGGTCACTAGTTTATAGGCTTTATCTCCTCAGCAACAGCTACGGTCACTAGTTTATAGGCTTTATCTCCTCAGAAACAGCCAGGGTCACTAGTTTATAGGGTTTATCTGCTCAGAAACAGCCAGGGTCACTAGCTTACAGAGTTTATCACTGTTTATGCAGCCAGGGTAACTTTCTAGTGAAGTTACCCTATAGTTAGTGTTGTCTTCTTCCATACTACCTGTAATTACATCACAACCACAACAGCACAGAGTAGCCAGTTATATCATTTTCCTGGGAAATACAAACCAACCGCAAGGATCAAACTTAACACCATGTATTTTCAACTCGGGTGCATTGTGCTGTCCCTCCTTCAAGGTTACGACAACACAAAACATACTGATTTAATTAATATCACATTTATTAACAGTTAAACAATGTTTAATTATGTTTTCATGTATACATGCCACAATAATTAAGCCAATGCATAAAGCTGTGTCAACAGATAACAAACAAAATGACCAAAGTAAACTAGACATTCTCGTACAATCGACTACCAAGTTGGTTTAATATTCTGATATTTAGAATCCCCCCGAGAACCAACCAGTACAAAAGCCCGCCAAATAGTAGTACCTTCCCAAAAATACATTTCCCAGAATGTGTTTTATCCACTCACTATTGAACTTTCATTAAATGTTGGAGTAACTTAATAAAATCTTGATGACTTTTGACACTGATTTTCTGAAAATCAGTTTTGACAAATGTATACTTTCCTTTAGCTCACTGGATGATAATTTCAAAACCTATTTTGTAAACTTTTCATCTCTAATTATTAATTATGAACACCTTGCATTTCAAAATTGTTTCAAGATAAAATACATGACTTAGGGCTGTTTTTCCTATGTTTCAAATTTTCACAATGTTATCAAAAACTTGTATTGAACAAAAAAAAAAATCCACTAAAGTCATGAAACTGACTATCATAAATAAATTCCATTTTTCAGAATATGTTTTTTTCTGTCGTTTTATTCAATGTTTGAAGAGTGAAAATTTAGACCTGTCGAAATACACTTGTATAACAGCATTTATAGTATTTATAAAGTTCATAAAAGTTACAGAAAAACATGAATCATTCCCATGAATTATCCAGGAATAAAGCCAAAATGTAACACAGGCATATAGTGACACATAACTAGTAACCTAAATAAGTGCCAACACTCCACAATATGAAATGTAGATAAAATACTGCTGAATTATACAAATACTAAACAACAAAATTCAAACATTATAAGCATGCCAACATTTCTTACCTAGACAAAATACATGTAGATGATCACTTCAGAACATCCTTACAAAATAAGTTGAGACTTCCTTTTGCAACCATTCAAATATTTATAACATGTTTCATACCTTCAATTTTATTTTTTTGATAAGCGCTCTTCAATACCAAAAAATCATCTGAAATTTGAACTCAAGTGACCTTGACCACTGAGTGATGATCACTGACTAATGTTTAGTATGAGACTAAATGACAAAACACCAAATGAAGCTGTATGACAATGAATTTAAAGGGACAACACATCATCATGAATGTGTTTGAAATGCATGACCTTGACCTTGGAGTGACAATGACATCTCCCAGTAATGATAACTGGTGTATGACCTTCACCTTGGAGTGACAATGACACATCTCACAGTGATGACTGGTGTATGACCTTGACCTTGGAGTGACAATGACATATCTCTCAGTGATGATGACTGGTGTATGACCTTGACCTTCGAGTGATTACGACACATTACCTGATGATGGTACATGACAATACCATCACCAAGTCCTGGTGTATACAAAGGAAGAATGATTAAGTCATGAAAGTAAATATAATATTCCTGACTAGCAAAATATAATATCTGACTTCAGCCTCCGAGACAAGGCTATAAAATAATGCTTATGTGATGAGTGTGAAGTTATTGAAAGTTTATTTGATTGTAAAATACTGTGACGTGACATGTTTAAAATGATGTAAAAGTAGTGGATTAAGTACCTGGTAGAGTATACACTGAAAACATCAACAAAATTGGCTTGAACTTCCAAAAAATGTTTTCAGAGTGGAAATCATCTATGTAGCTCCAGTTGTATTAAAGAATTGTATCATGTTATCGTATACAGATGTCACGCTTTGGATGGAAGCATTTATACATTTTCTATATATATAGAGACCCACACAAAAGTAACCCAATAATTCATTAAACAAAGCATTTTAAATACTACCTATGTGCTAATGTAACAGACCATTATTAAAACTTAACAAAGTATTTTGTAATAACAAGAATACTAATATCACAATAACAATAACTAATACCAACATACCAACAAATAAAGGGTAGCAGGCATTTTGGTGGGATAATTATATTGAGTTTCATGGAGAATTGTGGAACCTGTCTTAACAAACTTGTTTTATTATATTTACACACCTGTTTGAACCAGATATTTGTGTTTAAGGCATGCATTTTCATTCAATAAATTTTTGTCAGATTCAAAATCAATTTTTTCTATTACATATAGCATGCAGAATTTGATTGCCTGTACTTTTTTAAATTCCAAAGCATTAAGTAAAATCAACTTCGAACATAAAGTTTTGAAGTCCAGACGCATACAAAGCTACACATATTAAATTATAAGAGATATATAGGTTCTAATACTTAATATACTCTCTAAAACTATAGCCTGGCATAACTGAACGACAAATTTCATTTCTTTGGTAAAGAAAGTGTTCATTTTAGCCTGGTGAAACTCAACATTAACTCACTATAACATATCAATAATAAAGCAGTATTAATTAATTACCATACATATAATTAATTACCACACATACAATTAATTACCACATTTATGATCAATTAATACTGTGACCAACATGGGATTTTAGATGTCATGCAAAAATCACCAACAAATTTCAACATTCATTTCATTTTTATCAATATTACTGAATTTCCATTGTACAATTGTCTAATCTACAGAAATCAATATAAAAACCTTATCCCTGAGGATAGTTTGTGGGTGGGGTTATTTTTAAACATTTTGGCATGTGCAGCATTATCGATTAACTGTACAAGTATCATGTACCAGGCAACACGAGAAACTAGTTTACATCCATCACATGTATTATTTCGTAAGATAATTTTCCTGTAAGAGAGTGTTATATATTTATCACATGACGTTGTTTCTGTGGTATTTAATACTTTATCACATGGACTTGAGACATTAGATTTACCATATAAGGAATTAATAAATTAACATATTACTTTGATATAATCATATCATACATAAATTACATACTTAATTATACAATATCTAAAAACATGAGATTGTTTTGACATAATTATACAATACTTAAAATTACGTAGGCTTGTTTTGACATATATTAACTTTACGCAGGATCATTTTAACATAATTACACAATATCATATAATTACGACACTTGTTTTGATTGACATATGTGCAAAGATAACCAATATCCAGGCGATGTTGATGTTGGTTATCTGAGCTTCAAAGATCCTCATATCTATCATCACAAGGTGCCATAACTGTTTAATTACATTGTGGTATCAAAACCAGAGCACTGAAAGTTAAAGATCTCATTCCATTAACATTGCATCTTACTCCATGATATTTGAAACAGCAACTTAAATACCACATATTTGGTAAAGCATTGTACTGCACCTCCGCGCAACTAGATGGACAAATATGATTGGTTGAAATCAGACAAGGTCACAGAACACTTGTACAAGCCTGTAATGTGAGATTTTTTTTTTTTTATCAGTGGTGCAGAATGCATTTTGTTAATGAAATAACATAATCAGATATAAGCCAATCAGCATCAGATATATAACTGGAAATGTAATCATTCTGATAATGTGGGACTGTTCAAACATAACATGATTTCATGATATTATGGAATTGTTGTGACATTAAGTTATACAATAACAAAAATGATGTGGGATTGTCAAGATGTAACCATAAGATATAAAAAGGTATATTCTACACAAGTTAGGATTTTATAGGATACTTTTGAGGAAGACTACAAATTAATCTACTTATGTCCTTATGGAAATCATACACCTTAATTTACCATTAAACAAACATATGATATTTTATTTGTGGAAATTCTTTAAAGATCTAGCAAGATTGATTTATATATGCACCCTGATGGTATCACTACAGGTTTGTGTTGTTATATGCTAAACAGAATGAAAATTTGTGTTAATAATAAAATCAACAGAAATATGCCTGATGAAGTAAAAGAATTGTAATTCCAGCAGAAATTTGAGTAAACAGCATACACACTTGTGTATGTACCTAATACTCTGAATATAATCTATGATTCAGTGACCTTTCAGTTCTGGATTTCCCAATGAGCTATGTGTTTAGATGGTTTGGCTTACAGTATTCCAACCAATTTTGCATGTCCAAATTGACCAGAAGAGAGATATTTCCATACTAAGAATAGTTCTAAATGTCATGACAATGAACAGACAGAAACTTTGCAACTTGGACGGACTATCCCTTTAACACAATGTGGGATTGTTTTGATGTAATCATACAATATTAACATTATGTGGGATAGTTTTGACATTAACAGAAGTTATTTAACATCAAGTGGAACAGTTTTGACATTAACAGAATTAAATTTTCATGTGGGATAGTTTTGACATTAACAGAAATTATTTTTGTGTGGGATAGTTTTGACATAAACAGAAGTTATCTTTGTGTGGGATAGTTTTGACATAAACAGAAGTTATTTTTGTGTGGGATAGTTTTGACATAAACAGAAGTTATTTTTTGTGGGACATTAACAGAAGTTATTTTTTGTGGGATTGTTTTGACATTAACAGAAGTTATTTTTGTGTGGGATAGTTTTGACATTAACAGAAGTTATTTTTGTGTGGGATAGTTTTGACATTAACAGAAGTTATTTTTGTGTGGGATAGTTTTGACATTAACAGAAGTTATTTTTTGTGGGATTGTTTTGACATAACCATATGATATCTACATTATGAGGGATTGTTTTGACATAACCATATGATATCTACATTATGTGGGATTGTTTTGACATCAACAAATTTTATGACAAACAACATTACATACAGTTTTAAAAAACTGACATTCAAACAATTAAATCAACTAAATTGACTGGTTAGCAAGCACAGCATTCTACCACTCATATATACTGTCTATGTAGGGAACATTTTAATACTGTTCTTACGAATGACTGGTACCTTTCAAACCATTTTCTCTTACTTTACATTACTAACAAATGTTATAACCAGGTTTAACTAGACAGGGTGACAGTTATAACAAGATTTGACTAGACAATGTAGCAGCTACTGCCAGGTTTAATTTAACAAGGTGGCACCCACAGTCAGATTTAACTAGACAAGGTGGTAGCCACAATCAGATTTAACTTGACAAGGTGGTTGCCACAGTCAGATTTAACTAGACAAGGTGGTAGCCACAATCAGATTTAACTTGACAAGGTGGTAGCCACAGTCAAATTTAACTAGACAAGGTGGCATCCACAGTCAGATTTAACTCGACAAGGTGGTAGCCACAGTCAGATTTAACTAGACAAGGTGGTAGCCACAGTCAGATTTAACTAGACAAGGTGGTAGCCACAGTCAGATTTAACTAGACAAGGTGGCATCCACAGTCAGATTTAACTCGACAAGGTGGTTGCCACAGTCAGATTTAACTAGACATGGTGGTAGCCACAGTCAGATTTAACTAGACAAGGTGGTAGCCACAGTCAGATTTAACTAGACAAGGTGGTTGCCACAGTCAGATTTAACTCGAAAAGGTGGTAGCCACAGTCAGATTTAACTAGACAAGGTGGTTGCCACAGTCAGATTTAACTAGACAAGGTGGTAGCCACAGTCAGATTTAACTAGACAAGGTGGTTGCCACAGTCAGATTTAACTAGACAAGGTGGTAGCCACAGTCAGATTTAACTAGACAAGGTGGTTGCCACAGTCAGATTTAACTAGACAAGGTGGTTGCCACAGTCAGATTTAACTAGACAAGGTGGTTGCCACAGTCAGATTTAACTAGACAAGGTGGCAGCCAGAGCCAGGTTTAACTATACAACGTTGGCAGTTATAGCCAGGTTTAACTTGACAACATGAAAGTTATAGCCAGGTTTAACAAGACAAGGTACTTAGTTATAACAAGATTGAACAAGACAAGGTGGCAGCTATAATAAGGTTTGACTAGACAATGTGGCAGCTACAGCCAGGTTTAACTTAACAAGGTGGCAGCTAAAACAAGGTTTAACTATACAAGGTGGCAACCACAGTCAGGTTTAACTAGACATGGTGGCAGCTAAAACAAGGTTAAACTACAAAGGGTGGCAGTACACATATAACCATGTTTCATTCAACAAAGTGACAGTATAGTCAGGTTTAAGTAGACAAGATGGCCATATAACTGTGTTTAATTTGACAACGTGGTAGAATAACAAGGTTTAACAGGACAAGGTGGCAGTATAACAAGTTTTAACAGGACAAAGTGACAGTATAACAAGTTTTAACAGGACAAGGTGGCATTATAACAAGGTCTTACTGTACAAACACATTAAGTTGCAGAATAACGATGTATCTATTAAGAACACAGTATCTTTTGTATTAATAATGACTCTTATACCTGCTTATAGGATAAATAACAAAAGTATAATGACACATAAAATTGCACATGAACCGGTCTAAAAGAGACACATGTAACATATCATTGTTAGGACAGTTTTCTTTACATTGTATAGTAAAGTTTGGTTCCAGGAGGGACCTGACCTGTAAATAATTTATTTCAATATATCCAGAAATATTACCAATAAAAATAATTCAATTTCAAAAATTGACACAATAATCTCATGAAGATATCAAATGAATCATTTTTAGACACCTCGCTTGATAAAGGAAAAGTTTTCAGAAAAATCCATCCGGGAAATTATTCCAATATGTATGTTCATGTGGAACTGAAAAAATGAGATCCATCTAAGATCTAGGGGCAATACTAATTCACGAAGGGAAACAATGAAACACAGGTGGAGTGCAGAATGAGTAAGGCATTATTCAGACATGGAAGTCTGACTTATCACAAATATAAATCTCTATGGGATACTTCGATGGACTGCGTAAAGGAATCACAACACAAGATGTAGTAACAGATTTGTTAAAACATTTTAACCATTGCAAAGAATTGACCGTAGTTCTGCAATATCTGGATAACCTTGTAGTTTGGACTCCACTGTAGTAAAAATCTTAACCATCTGACCATTGAAAGCTTGATCTGAAATAAAAAAAAAATATTTAATTCAAAACGAGACATACAATTCATTATTAAACATATGTAACCTGTTTTGCTTAAACTATGACATGTGTAGAAGTTTACAACCAAATCCATTTTGATATTACCTGTAACCGTAGTGAAGGTATTTGTGTCCTTGACGACCATGACAAGTGTAGCTAAGGCCAAGGATGTGGCCACAGGTGACTGGTCCTCTGTTAAATCATGACACACCTCAAGCATACTCTTCTTATACAGATCAAACAACAGAGACCTGTAAATGACAGACATATAAGGTGTGAATATCATGTAAATGTATTTAATTAATTCTCGTCTGTATTTAGTCGCTGATCTGCTTATCTATCCAAGTTTAATAAGTGTCACAAAATCCTTAAAACCTTATCAACAAGCTTCTGGTAGCTCGCTTGTATCCGATATTTAACAGTAATTCATTGTACCCGACAGTCACACACTGACAGTAACTTACATGTATCTTACATACACTCATTTGTATCTGACAGTAACTCACTGAATCTAACATTCACAATCTGACAGTACCGCACATGTTTGTAACATTTACTCATGTTTATTTGACAGTAACTAGCTTTTTATCTGTCAGTCACTCAGACAGGAGCAATATATCCCTAGTATCTGACAGTAACTCGCTTAATTGTATCTGACAGTGACTTACTTAACTGTATCAGACAGTGACTCACTTACTTGTCTGATAGTAACTCGCTTTCAATAAATTGTATCTGACAGTAACTCACTTAATTGTATCTGACAGTGACTCACTTAACTGTATCAGACAGTGACTCACTTAATTGTATCAGACAGTGACTCACTTACTTGTCTGATAGTAACTCGCTTTCAATAAATTGTATCTGACAGTAACTCACTTAATTGTATCTGACAGTGACTCACTTAATTGTATCTGACAGTGACTCACTTAACTGTATCAGACAGTGACTCACTTAATTGTATCTGACAGTGACTCACTTAACTGTATCAGACAGTGACTCACTTAATTGTATCAGACAGTGACTCACTTACTTGTCTGATAGTAACTCGCTTTCAATAAATTGTATCTGACAGTAACTCACTTAATTGTATCTGACAGTGACTCACTTAATTGTATCTGACAGTGACTCACTTAACTGTATCAGACAGTGACTCACTTAATTGTATCTGACAGTGACTCACTTAATTGTATCAGACAGTGACTCACTTACTTGTCTGATAGTAACTCGCTTTCAATAAATTGTATCTGACAGTGACTCACTTAACTGTATCAGACAGTGACTCACTTAATTGTATCAGACAGTGACTCACTTACTTGTCTGATAGTAACTCGCTTTCAATAAATTGTATCTGACAGTAACTCACTTAATTGTATCTGACAGTGACTCACTTAATTGTATCTGACAGTGACTCACTTAACTGTATCAGACAGTGACTCACTTAATTGTATCTGACAGTGACTCACTTAACTGTATCAGACAGTGACTCACTTAATTGTATCAGACAGTGACTCACTTACTTGTCTGATAGTAACTCGCTTTCAATAAATTGTATCTGACAGTAACTCACTTAATTGTATCTGACAGTGACTCACTTAATTGTATCTGACAGTGACTCACTTAATTGTATCTGACAGTGACTCACTTAACCGTATCAGACAGTGACTCACTTAATTGTATCTGACAGTGACTCACTTAACTGTATCAGACAGTGACTCACTTAATTGTATCAGACAGTGACTGACTTATTTGTCTGATAGTAACTCGCTTTCAATAAATTGTATCTGACAGTAACTCACTTAATTGTATCTGAGTGTTTCATTTAATTGTATCTGACAATAACTTGTACAATGTATCTCACAGTAACTTCAATGATGTATCTGACGGTAATATCAATAATGTATTTGACTATTACACCCTTCAATCTTGTCTGACACTAGCACACACAATTCTATCTGACAGAAACTTACTTGTATCGGACAGCGTCTATGAGGCTAATTAGAAATGTAGGATCCACATCCATCAGGGTGTTGCTTTTCTCATATTGTTTTGTGACAAAGTTGACAATGCCTGGTTGGGCACCACTTTTTTCTGTAAGGAATCTCAGAGGGTGGTCCAGGACATCCAAGGCAAAGGAATCATTCTCTCCCAACACCAGGCCACTCAGGTAGTTCACAATCTACACGAAAACATATGACATCCAATGACAACAGGAATATCCATGTCATATCTACACACCTCTTACTGACATTATGTGATGACTGAAATCTATTTTTCCAGTTACTTATGTAGCTTCTCAAATTATGATGGCCTCAAATTCTGATGGCCTCAAATTCATGGGTTTGCTTCATATTCAGTTTGCTTGTAACATATGATTCTACACTAAATAAATTCTGCCTGAAACTTGTTTTTTAACCTGAATAACACTACATAGTTGCTTTGTGTACAATAATGAATCACTTTAGATCCTGTGACTTTAAAACTACAGGTATGTATATACTACGATAAAAACCAATTCTAAAATTGTGAATATGTCAAGTGCTTTATCCAAGGATTGCATACATAATTTGAGTACCAGGTGGATACAAGAAGCCTCACTGGGGTAATCCAGGTATTTCACTTTTAAAAGCCAGTCAAACATTTTCTAATGGCGGCTCGCCTGTCAGTCAAAAATGTCAACAATGCATGCCATTACATTTGGACAACATGCCATGTTAGACTCTTTCTTTTTAGATTAGTGTGAAGTAATTTTACAATGACTGGCTTCAAAGTCTGGTTCTACATCAAAACCCCTTAAGAGATATAAAGTAAATCTCATATACAGTATAGCCTGCTTAAACCAGATGTCACAAAGTTATAAAAGTGTTGAACAGTGTATAGAGGTATTAACCTTATAAAATTAATATTACAGCATTTGAAAAATACATTTCAACAATTTATTTTTTTTAAATGCCCTTTTTGTCTGAAAAAAACCCCATCAGATTTTTACACTAGAAAAACTGCCAAAATATATTCATGTACATTACATTGTCTTATATAATATTAGCCAACCACCAGAGGCTCTGACAACAATAACAACTACATCACCTAACAGAACCTCATAATCAAAAGCAACTTGACCTCTAAAAATTTAAATTAAATTAAGAACACAGTCCTTTTCCCAAAACAGACAGGATCCCAATTTAAGAACTTTCACTTATTTAGTTTAAGTGAGAAAACATCAAAGTCAATTATCATTGTGAGAATATAAACAGGGTCAGGTTTGGCAAGTTATACTGTATAATTTTTTTCATTTTGACTCGAGAGTTGAAAACCTAGGTGTCTTTAGTTTGTTGGCTGGATTTTTCGCCTAACGTACAGTCAGGATCATGCTTTCCGTGAACAACATTCAGAGCAACTACATAGTAAAGTGTAAAGGTCAAGGACACAGCCATGTTGACAGAGACCATTCTGTTTCTCAGTGTCCTGAGAAACATCAACTGCCACAGGTAAAGAGCATGGAACCACACACCTTAGATCTCAACCTGAGGTTGTGTTGGCTTCACTGACTCGGCTATCGGGGATCTGTGTGGTCTGTACTATATACATACTTACATTCAAGTACATAACTTTGATGAGGAATGGGACATCCGCCACACTGTAGGACTGCACATTAACATGATGGGAGGGAGAAGGACAAGCTGCTTCCAATGGTATTTCTGGGACATCCCCATCACCACTGTTAAGAGCTTCGGCATGTTTGGGACATTCGGGACTGTCAGGGTCTCCCTTGGTGTCCTCATCTGGCAGTACATCTGTAGTATTGTCTGCCATTGTCACAAGACCACAACTGTCATGCTTCCCTGTTAAATCTTCAACATTTTGATGTCCATCATTACCAATTTCTGGTTTATCACAAGTCTCAAAAACGTCATCATCATCTGTTATATCATTTTCTCCATTACTTAAGATGATATCAGTGTCTTTACCATTATCTGTAGAGAAATAGTCTGGACTCAATAACTCTGTCTTCTGTATAACAAGGATAGGTTCATCCCCATAACACACATCCACTCGACTACTTTTATTTCGTAGTTTTCGTCTAACAGCTTCTCCTCCAATAGCACATTCATCGTCAGAATCTTCGTTCTCATCTGTAGATGATTCGGTAGCTGCAGAATCCTCAGAATCTTCATCAGGAAAATGAACTTTCTTCTCAGGACCTGTTATATCAATGCCTTCACCAATGTGTTTGAGAATGCCCTTTGTGTTGTTATCATTTGTTTTGACCTTGAGGAAGGTTGTAGGTGTGGTGAGATCCTGTACACTAACAGGTGAAGCTATGTCCTCTGTCCCATCTCCATCCGATTCCGCCTCAGGGGACACATCACGGTGCTGAATCCAAACCTTTTTCTTCAGCCTATTAAATGAGATTCCATGCTAAATTTAACTTGATCAATTTTGCTTCATAACATTATAAAGCAACTATATTGGACACAAAATTTTAACAAAGGCCCCTTAATTTGGTACACAGCTCATTGTCTTAGAATGATTAATGTACAATTTTTTGCGTACACAACATTTTATGATACATGCTTAACCATAGGAAAATTTATGCTCAGCAATATAAATTTTAAACAAAGAGCAATAACTCTGTAACTAATTAAGGGGTCGCAGGCCCTACCATTGGTACCGAGCATATTGTCTTTGTATGATCAATGTATACACCAAGTTTCATTATCCTACTATAAATGAAAGCAATTCAAAGTTGTGCTCAAGATACAAAATTTTAACAAAGGGCAATAACTCTGTAATTAAGGGATTTTGGGTCCTGAATTTGGTACACTGCACATCTTCAAAGTGTGATCAATATTTATACCAAGTTTCATTATGTTCTAAACAACATATTTTTAACAAATGGCAATAACTCTGTAATAAGGGGTTGTAGGTCCTGAATTTGGTACACCGCACATCATCTTAGTGTGATTAATGTTTACACCAGAATTCATTATCCTAGTTTAAATACAAGCAAATTTATGCTCCAGACATGAAATTTTAACAAAGGGCAATAAGTCTGTAATTGAGAAGTCAAAGGCCCTGAATTTGGTACACTGCACATCCAAGTACTTTCTTAGAAGAAACACTGAATGAAGTTTAAGTGCAATTGGCAGACCAGAACTAGAGATATGGAGCAAAAAAAAAAAAAAATAAACACACACACACAAAATTGACAGTCAGAGACAAACAATCTAACATTGTTATAGGAATAAGATGCAGTATTTCTATAACACTAAAGATGACCATTTTTCATAAATTTTCAATTTAAGATATCTCAAAATGATTATTTTTTTTTAATAACATCTTCAGCAAATAGCAGCATTAGACAACTTACGTGATCTGGGTCATTTTTGAGTAATTGAAGAGAAATCTGCGTCCGTCTGTTTTAATTGTAAGGTTTTCTGGGAAATTTTGAAGTGACCTTTGTATGACCTTCATGGCATGATCAAACAGGTGACACAGGAGATTTTCATATTTATCAACAGCCTCATTTATATCCGGTGTAGAATCTAAGAAAACAATAATGCTCATTGATATGGTAAAAAATGATTAATTATGAAGAAAACTATTTAATGAAATCATCTGTTTAAACAAGAAGTTCAAGAGAAACTAATGCCTGTAAATGATAGTTTCATGAAACCATGGCTGAGTGACTGTAAGATATCTTAATTGTTGGCTTTAAGCTACAGTAGTTCCAAGGCCCAAATGAAAAATCTATCACTTGTCAGTTGATGACGTTTAAGAAATATTCTTAGACAAAAGGTCTTAACATGTATATTATTTGCTGAAATATATACAATAAATATATATACAATTAAAAAAAAAGATAAAAAAACTTTGTGTATCGTATATATATATAATCAAACACTAGACATGGCAGATAAATTCACAATTTTTTTGCCATGTCAAGTGTTTGATTTTCTATATGTATATATGTATTTTTTTCTTTCAAATTGAAAAAAACAAAAGGCCAATAGGGTCTGTAGTGCTCACCTGGTGTGGTTTAGTCACAATTGTTTTAACCATACTGAGAAAGGATTTTTTTATATTTACCCTTAATTCCCCTACTGGACCCTTCCATCTGCACTGCTGAGGAAATATGACCTATGGACTTGGTTTCTAAAAAAAGGAATCCACTTAACACTGGGATGATCTAGGTAAAAATTTTAGATGAATTAAGTCATTCCATTAGAAGAAGAAGGATTCTTAATCTTTGCCTCTATTTTACCCATTGGACCCGACCCTCCACTCCTGGAAGTTCAAATCAACTGTTTATACTAAAATGAGTCCCCTTCATCTGAAAATGCTCTGAAATAAAATAGGTCAAAATCCTTTCATCCCAATGAAAGAAAAAGGATTTTGAAGTTTTATTCTATTTCCTCTATTTGACTCTGCTCCTCAGCCCTAGTGGGGTTCAGATCCACCATTTATACCAAATTCAGCCCCATCCCTTGGGGATGCTTTAGACCTTTGCACTGGGTGAGCTAAAAATCAAACTTCAGTCAGCTATGATGATCATACACCTGAATATCTGTATGTTAGGGAAGCACTCAGTTAGCTACCTAAGTCCAGAAGATTGTCAAGCATCTCCTGGATTGTGGATGTGAGATTGGCCAGAGTACGACAGCCTGACTGTGTGATATCTGGGTCAGTCTGGTGGAAATCCATGGCTCGCAGGATCATCTCAAGTCCCGTCTCTCTCAGGGGTAGCTGAAATGCAAAATACTACGTAAGCAATTATCATTTATATTAAATTGTCCCAGTCAATAACTATGACATCAGTTTGTGATGGTTTTGCGTTCCCTTGGAATGTAATGTGAAAGAAAAGACACCAAAACAACCCACTTGATTACCCTAGTCAGTTCTTTATGCAAACTGTTTTTTCATTTTCATTTCTGAAACTGACAAATATTTTAGTCCTTCAGTCTCCAGAAGGTATCTGATTTTTTTTATATTGTAAAATTCAGTATTCATTTTCAATTTCATTCATTTCTTTAAATACAGTGCATTCCATTTTTTTGGGAGGGGGTGGAGGGGGGGGGGGGGGTATGTGTGGGAAACATCAGGAATGACCAAATTATCTTTGCATAGATTTATCGCTGAATCGTGAACAACACAATTTTAACTACTACTGGAAGCACCTTCTGTCATACATTGATATGTTAAACTTGTTATATGCTTTACATGGGTTGAGGTTTGCGACATGAATTACCTTGTGGCGTATGTTAGGCCTATAAGTGGCGACATGGGCTAGAATGTCTAAGCCATACTCCTGCACTTGTCTGTCCTTCAGATACACTGCCATGGTGCCTAAAATGGCTGCAGAAGCCTGACATTGGATCATAGTGGTCAAATTGCTAGGAAAATGGCTGAATGTCCTTAGCAACTTCACACACAGCACCACATGGCTCAAAGGGTCCTGACAACAGATAATGGATACTTAGAACTCTTAAATATTTAGACATAATTTTAGTTTCAAGGAACTATTTAGCTAAAATAGATTCTCACTGAGCACTAACCAAAATCTGCCTCAATAGTTCCACTAGAAGCTTGACAGCAGGTCTGTGCATGGGCCGGTCTCTCTCCGATTCTGGCATCTCTTCTAGTTTTTCTGATGTCTCCGTTAAATATGCCACCAACAATCCTTTCTGGTAATTTGCTATCTCCTACAAGTAACAAATGTTTACAAATCCTGATTAAACCTATGTGGCCGAAGGGATCACAGTCGACAAAAAGGAAATGAACACGACATCATTGTCGGATACAAATCTAACATCTACTTCAGATTCATTTAAACTCTATCCACTGACACTATATATACACTTTACCTGTAAAAACTTGAAGATGGCATCTGTGGTTTCCATGCTTAGCCTCACATCTGTATACTGTTGTATCTGCTTGGTAAGGAAACTTGCTGCCATAATGCCCAACTGGAATAAAAGATTTTCCTTTTTTGTGAGAAGGTCCCAGGTAAGTAGCAATTTGCCTCCAGGATATTTCAGCCATATAAAAAGATATCTATTGTAAAACCATTAATTTTTGTGTCTACTTAATGATAAACAGATAAACGTTAACATGAATTATAGTACTTTATCAGCAAAATTGATCCGCAAAATCAAGTGCCAATGTGTATTTTCAGAAGAACTCCGTATTTGAACGTCATGAAAATATATGATTTTACAGAAATATAAACGAAACTGTTGAATGCTTGCCGGAAACAACTTTATTTGACACAACATTTTAACAAAATATGATGCACTGCACATCTTCTACATAATGACAAATGTTACATCAAGTTTCATTATCCTTGTTTGGATGAAAGCAAAGTTATACATAAAATTCTAATAAAGGGCAATAACTCTGTAATTAAAGGGTGGCAGGCCCTTGGTTTGGAACACTGCTCAGGAAGCATAAAAAAGAAATTACTTCACAATGATTTTAACAAATTACACTTAGGATCCTCCTAAAACCTAGTAGATGAATTATAATATACCCATATGCTTATTGACTATTAGTTCTTGATGAATTTTATCTTCTTGGAGAGAATTCTTTCTGACTTTAAAAAAATCCATTTTGAAACTGATTTCCTATTTAACAGTTATCTCCATATGAATACCTCTATTGGACTATTGAGATTGGCAAGGATTTCTGAGTTGACATCAGGTCGTTGGATTTGTTCCCAGCTGCCCTGTAGATAATGGTCCTTTTCTTTCACTTCCTCCACCTGGTGTATTTTAGCATCCATTTAATATACCATATAAATAAATACAATTAATTTTTTTTCCAGGTCAGCCAATAATCTTATATTATTATAATATGACATAAAATTATATGTTTTTAATATCGATACGATATTTATTACCACACTGCCATTAAAATAATATTTATGATATAAAATACAATTTTTCAGATTATGCAATTTTATAAACTATTAATATAAAAAAAAAAAAAAACAAAGTGAGCAGAGGCTTTCACAGATATACCAACTCACTCCATGATCTTTTTATTTTTTAACGAAGTCTTTTGAGGGCCGGGGTTCGTGAAATATCTTATACTCAGGTTATTTATCTTAAAATCTAGTGTGACTCTGACTCTTTACCCCAGATGATGTCATCCTAATCAGGTGAAGATCTTATGGTGTGAATATGAACTACAGCTACTGAGATGGTTATCAGATATCTTGTATGCAAGCATTTATTTTGAAAGTGGTTAAGTTTAATCTTTGACCTTTTCAATGACCACCAACACCTAATTAGGTGTATACCTTTATGGTGTGCAGGTGTGAATATGAACTAAATTTGTCCAATAATGAGATATCTTATACTTAATTTTTTATTTAAAAAGTGGTGATCTTTGACCTTGATTTCGACTACCAAAATCTATGTAATCCTTTATGGATTAAATATAAACTAAACCTGTACAATAATATGCAGAGACAAAGTGATTTGTATACTTCCCATAACTTAACAGGAGGTAAAACAATTAATAAAATATCATATTTAAAAAGTTATAGAGTATGTATGTAAATTGCTATCAAACCAATATAAAAAGGTACACAACTGCCATTTAGCTTTACTTACAGGTTCTGTAATTGACAGCCCTTGTACAGCACGCTTTGGTTTTGGAGGTGGTTTTGATACCATGACCGTACCAGGAGTTTTAGGTAACTTTCGTCTTTGCTTTTTAAATTCTCCTGCAGAAATCTCCACTGTTTTGTCTGCCATTTCTGCCATCATACCTAGACATGATACAGTAACAAGAATATAATTTTACATCTGAAAGCTATTTACCTGTATTTAATAACACATACTAACAAATCCAAGGAAACACAATTAGCGGACTTCCTAAAAGACAAAAATTTGTTTGTAGCGATGCTGTTAACATGACAGTATATCAATAATCTATTATTTAGTAGGAAGAACACTACCAGTGTAGCACACAATCTAACAAAAAATGGTATGTAGGATGAGATATTAATATTTCCTGTTCAATAGGAAGAAACAAATGAAACCTACAATAAAAAATAAGGAAAGATTCACATAACAATCAAATAACAATAGATACAAGAAAGATACAATGTATTAGGAAATCTTTAGTATGGTGGGGTGGAACAACATCTGCCAATCTCATGCCAAAGTGAAATACATTATCATAAAAACTACAAAATATGAAATGAACTCACCACTGATAACATTGACTTCTGACTGCAGGGCCTCACCCTGGATTAAACAGGGAAGATCCTTGTTGCCCGGTGCCATGGTGAGTCCCCCTGTGTTACTGATACTCAGTCTCACAAGAGGAACACAAACCTCACCTGTTCCTTCACCACACACATCCTCACTGCAGATGTTTCCCTCTGTATTCAGGCCTAAAAGGACAAAGTTCCTTTGGTTAGAAATCTAGTGTCTGTGTTATGAACCATATTTGAGTTAATAAGTACACTGTATGAACATAAAACATCCATCATAATACAGTGTATGAACAGAAGTTTGAAATTTAATATTCAAGGTACCAAACGAGGTGTTGACTCCAGGATTTGATATCAAATGAGGCACCAAGATGATAATATATGAAATATTTCATTTAGTCAGGAATCAATTGCTATTTGTCTTGCAAATGACCTCTTCATACCGATTCCTTAGAAACATTATGTTTTCACTGAGATTCAACGGCTACTTTAATTCAATTTGAAAAATATGAAAAACTATATAAATAATGGGGAAAAAAACTTTAAACTTGAGGGCAAACTTGAACTGACTTGAACAATCACAACTTTCAGGACATAGTTAATGTGAAATTTGAATGCACTTATCTTGAAAATATGAATCAATCAATGCCACGATTTTAGAAATATTTTCACTCCTCACCTTACTGCTACATAAAGAGCTCTGTATTTGGCTGTATATGTAAATAATCTATTTATAGGTCACCCTAGTTGATATCATACTATTGACTACTAATAACAACATGTTATTGAGACACACTTCCTTCTTCCTTGTCACCATGATCAACATAATATTTGTCTCATCATAACACTTTGTCATACTGCTTCATCAATACTGTTAAAATATCCACTTCAGTTGGAGATGTTACAATTAACTCATCAACACAAGAAAATGATAATTTAGCTTTCTCTTATCCAGGACAAGTATTCCCATGCTTTGTTGGGGAGAGATTTTTATTACTATACCACAGGCAAAGACAAGAGAGGCATTGAATCACCAGAATTCCCTATCAGATCAATGACAGGATGTCACAGCAAAAGTTGCATGACATCGCGTCAACAATACCAAGCATTTTTATTTCTGGTAAATGTAAAGAAAGGCAACAGGAAAATAATCATTCAACTCCTTCAGATTTCAACCAATCAGAAAAATTGTCCACTTGACCATCACTCAAGCCTCAGATTTGTCAACTACAATGAATCTTTCCCCTCAGGTTGAGATCACCTTTTCCCTTGCCGCTGATTGGTTTATCCATGCTTTTACCCATGTGAGGTTTCTTTTTCTCACCCTAGGGTCAAGACAGGAGGCATTTGCATTTCATATCTATGACATGTATGCATAATTAAAACAAAAACCCACATACCTTAGAAGACCAAGAGGGTAAGGTAAAAATAATAATTCATCCCCTTTTTGGTGGGATACTGGTATCTCAACTCTCAGGAAAAGATTATTAAGAGGCAGACATTCAGAAAGCCTAATATTTGCCAAGGAACAACTTTTCCTAATCTAATCTGCCTTTCCCACCTCCATAGGTTTGAAATATTCTTTTAACTTCTTTTCAGATCAGGAGAAAGATTCTTTTTATCTCAACAAGTCCTAAGGAATCAAAATATCAGAATAACTGCTATTGATCTCATGAGTATAATGTTGATTGAACTTAATAGCCTTGCTTGTGAAGGGTGGATTTCACTGTACTGTATAAGTGGTAATATTTGTGAAGTTTTCAATTTTTCTATATCCACTGTCGATAAAGATATCATGAAATTTAGGATCCAACAAACAATCTGACAGTGATTAAAATTCTCAGAAAACAACTGATATACAAATGTACTGTGTAGAGTGATACCATTTGACTGACATGTGCAAAATTTATTATCCATGCACTGGTCCAGACCGAAATACCTGTAAAAATATTCAGCCCGCAAAATTTAACAACTATACAGTATGTGGTTTGATATCAACTGCTACATCCCAATCTTTAGTTTCTGGTAGTCTTGATTTACATTCATGGTTTTAAGCTCTCAGTATCAAAGTATTCAAAATAAAAAAGAAGGAAAATTAACAAATGATGTTTCAAATTCTCTACTTATCAATGTTTATTCAACATATAAGTTATGATTACAGAAATATGGTGAAAAACTATTTGTTTTCTTTAGATCAATAGTGGGGATGATAATTTCCGTTGTGTTTTCCTTTTCTGAACTTACAATACATATATAAGTACAATGTCATTGGATTAGGCTTGAAACATTCAAAATGTATTATGCTATGGGGATACATTTACTTCGCAAAATGGAATGCAGAATTTTTTTCACCTTCATTTTGCCACACTCTTTTCTTGTAATTTTGTGAAATGGGATTGTTGACCATTGTACATTTAATAACTTGATCCACTTCAACTCCTTGCACTCTCATCTCTATATCAATATTCATCACATAACTAAGGAACTTTATCTCATATGATCATGGGGTGCTCTAATTAACTTACTGGAAGAATTTTTTTCACACAACAACATCAGAATTTTGTTATATTGGCATATTGTCTAAGATTCTCAGTGACAAAATGTAATTTTCTTTTTAAGCTTTCATACAAAAATAAAAACATACTAAAAGTGTTAAACAATTCAATTAACATAACAAAGTTACACACTAATGCTGCAATGTGCATGTTGCCAAAAGCTTGTCTAAAAAGTACAAACAATTCAAACCAATCAAGGTAAGAGCACATCTGATTTCTGGTTTATGGCTCTAGAACCTTTACCATTTTCGGTAAATGAGAAATGCATTGCCTCTTACACAGAAGGTAACAACAACATGGTTCTGATTTAGCATAAAAAATGCAATATTTTCATTGCCTTATCTCCTAATTGCAATGCATTATTTTGGATGTACACACAGTATTTGAATTTAAGTATATTTGAATGCTTAGAAAACTTTGTTTAAAATGACTAGATGGAAGTCATGAAAAAGACACCAAAATGATATAACAGTACATGCATATCAAAATATAAACGTGAATCTTACCAAATTTCATTCTATTTAAAGCAATGCCTATTCTAGTCTGCATTATCATGACATTCTGTGAACATTTTTATACCAGTCTGATGTTCTATCAATTCTTTCTATATCAGTCAGGCTCATATATAAAAAAAAAAGTCGATAGAATGTTAGAATTATAAATTTAGACTACGACTATTCTAATATTCAGTACTGTTAGTGCTAGTATCTTGTAAGTTTAAAATGTGAATACTGTGCTGCTTGAAAAATTCATTTAAAGTATACTGCTCTAGAGATAAGTTTGATGATATTCAAATATACGATTCATTTTTATTAACATTTTTTACAGGCCGATCACACAATTATAATATTAAAGGGATTCATATAAATTACTGTCGACCTTTAAAGCAACATATAAAAGAAATCTAAATGACATATTAAAACAACGTTTCTGATAACCTAATGCTATGGAAAACAAATGTTTGATTTGTTAGCACTTCCTCATTTGGGATCTACAATCTAAACACTTATCAATCGACATTGGGATGGTTGATAAACATAAATTACTGAAATGGCTAATCGATGACGGACAAACTCACCAATCAGAAAGTCCTTGTTCAATCCTGAAATAGTGAAGAATCTGTCTTCCTTAACATCTCTAATGGTAAATTTTATAGAATCAATTTCTTTCTCCATGGATCCCAGCCTGTGTTTTTTAATCCGTCCTGGTCACATGCAGACGATGTAAACCGGAAGTTTATTTCAGTTCCTCGTCGCCTTTTTTGTTTTCTTTTTACAAAAGATCTACTTTCAGTTTCTATGTGTTATCTGCTTTGGAAAAAAGAGAGACGGTAATATCATCGAATCATGAACGCGGACATTAATATAATAACTTCCATTTTCGAAATAGCGCGAGCCACAGACAGGTACATAGCCGATATTTGCATTTGTAGTTACGTTAATACTTCAGATAAAACTGTCTAACGTGTTGTCCTGTTGTTGTTTGTTTCGTTTCTTCAATTTAAGCAGACATGTTTTTTAATCAAAGAATAAAGAATGGATCAGCTATACCTCGCCCATGATTTATCTAGAATCAAAAACCTAACTTTTTCAGTAAAATGTATAAAAGTGTATGCATAGTAATTATATTACATATGTATGACAAGAGGTCCATAGGTCCTGTATTTTCAGCTGGTTATTTAAGCTTTCACGTCACATCAAAATATTTCGTTCATTTATCTTTTAACACGCGTCCAGACCTAACATTTATAAAAATTGGAACCGTCTCACCCAGGGATTATTTGGTCAAAAGTTGAAACAAATAGTATTCTTTTTAACCTTCATCTCAACAGAAGAAAACCATCCCTCTATTTGCCTCAATGAGTCCAAACCTCTACCCCAAAAACTGTTTTAAGCTATTTCCCCGTCCATCTGTTCCCATTCAATCTGACCTATCGTTCATAAAAATGAGTTATATCCAAACAAAGTACAAAGGTTATAGATAATTTGTTATCTTTTCCCCCACAGGCCGCGAATGCTACGACCAACTACTTAAAAAATGGCTCGCTTCCCTAAGGATTCTTCTGATAAAATTTAGTCAAAATCCCCTGTCGTTTATAACTAGAAGCAAATGTTAGGTAAAAAGATGATGAATAACGTTCGAAGACGAAATTTAACTTATTGAATCAATTTCTTATCAGTATGACTTTTTCTATTAAAAGCAAAATTTCGGCGATTACAAGTGACAACATTGAAAAACGTGGCCTATATTTCATTACTAAACTGACGCTCAATGAAGCTGTATACTATGACAGGAAAGTTGTCTATGAATATGTTTCAGAGTTGTAGTATTTACTGTTGATTTATTTACTTTAGTAATCAATACAAATCCCTCATTTCTATAATCTTACTGCTTAGGTAAACTGTAAACAAATTGTCAAACTCTGGCTTCAATCATTACCATTGTTGTATCTCAGTGACAGGTTATCCTGAAATAATGACTGTAATAAAATGTAAATATTTTGGTGTGTGTAAGGTGTACACAAGACATGATAGCAGACATTGGTAATTCATAACATGATACAAGATTTGCTTGATTTTATTGTTCAACTTTTACTTCAAATTATTTCCCACTTAAGCCATCCCTCATTTCATAAATTTATATTACAAATTTCTGTTACGGATTGCATATAAAGCCGTATCAGATTTGAAGTGCATCCTGAGTATTTTGCTACATTTAGCTATGAACTATTTCATATCGTATAGCAAAAGGTTAAGAAAACTGGGCTCGCTTCTAATTCCCTTCCGTGTGACTGGCGGCGACCGCCTCGCTATGGGTAGCCCACATCTGTGACGTCACAAGTTTAACGCTGTCAAACTTGACCTATAGAAATATACCGGGAAGTTTTCATCGTGTGTTCCATATGCGAGCTTTTTAGCTACTAATGTGATATATTCTGTTGACACTTACTTCGGTGGGTTACATTCTGAGTGCTACATGCATATAGAAATGGTTTTTTTTTTTTTTACAATTTCAATTATGAACTTATCTCCTTTTGAGTAGACAAACGATGAACTGTATGCAAGTGTCTGAACACATAATTGGATGCTAAACTTAAATATTATACTTTCATATTTACCTTATACATTATTATATTCAATTGGTCTCTGTTAAATTTCCCGAACCCTTAATTTATACACGGAGTTATCTCTATCGAACTCCACAGCGACATGTATACATATTCATTGGGGATGTAGGTCTGTTGCTATCTATGAATGAAAAAAATCACAAACTTGGCCTTAATCCAAGGACCTTGAAACTTGACGTCATTCAAGTTAAAATGGTCCTCTACACCCGCGTAAAGCTTTATTAAATCCCTCTCGAAATGAAACCGCTAGATGATACCGACAAACAAGTCTTACTTCGAAATGAATAAACAGGGATACTTTTCAATAGAATAGCATAGAGTAACTCTGTGTGCCATGATAAAAACTTCGAGTGGAGATTTCTAGACCAGAACGATAACCCTTTAAAATAATCATCACAAAAATATTAAATATCGCTCATCTGGTTTTGTTTGGCAGCCATCAACCCTTTGTTCTCAGGGTGTTAGTTAAAATATTTATATGTCTCCCGCTCAGTGATGATCCAGACCAATTTTGGACAGAAACCTTACATTCCAACAGGAGAAGGATTTCATAGAATTTGCTATATTTCACCTATTGGGCAACCCACCCCCACCCCACCCTTACCTTCCCCACCTCTCCATGGCTCCATGAACCCGAGACCCGCTGGTTATACAACACTGAGTCCCTTCACCAAAAACTGCGTCAGCTGAAATTTCGACAATTTCTCCCAAGGATGCTTGTGACCAACGTCAAGTAAAATCACAATGGCGAGGGGTGATGAAGGGAGGCGAGGGAGCGAGATCACGACCTCGCCTCGGGCTCTGTGCGAGAGATCGAGATGGTCCTAACCTGCCGTCATATCGTTTTCCTCGACAAAAGTGTGGTATGAAATTAACAAGAACTACTGATGGCAAAACTGAAAGCTTAATAAGTGGATTTGTCGTGGTATCTATCTAAATTATGTGTTGATATTCCTTCTAGATTCCAATTACATCCAAATATTTACATGAGTTTATATCCAGGAATTTGTCGGATTTATAGAATTGGCACGAGAGTCTAATATTATCACACTCTTACGCAAGTTTTATAGATGTATGTTTTAAAAAAATCATATTTACATTTGTCCTTGTTAAAATAATGATTATTTTAATAAATACTCCCATGTCAGTTTTTTCCTTCCAGACAACCAATAACGCCTCTCTTCAACTTATATTTGTCCCTTCCAATCCTTTTGGTTATTATTCCCAGTACTTTTCATGGCTGATGTTATTTCACTCAGTACACGTTTCGGTTTATTTTGCATGTACACGTCTTCACAATACAATTTTCAAATCTTCTTTTCTGCTTTCTCGCAGCCATAACTGTTATTGTGTTACTATGTTTTTTACGTTCATACTGGGTATCAGCAGTTCGATATCATCATCTTTTCATCGTCACATGCATATAAACTTATAACATACTCCTGTTCTTTTCTCTGTAGTTCCTAATATGGTAATTGCAATGTATTTGAAAACATTATTAAGTGATTATAACCCTAGTTCCCTTTATCTACGTACTCTGAAGAAATTTCCGTTTCTAGAGTCATACACTCTTTCATGAACGTTGATATTCAGAGCCTCTTGCCAAAAAATGACCGGACTTATCCCATGATTATGATATAAACTGAATTTGTGATGTTGAAGTCTCAAGATATGATCTTGATGTTTGTTTGCTCGGATATTTTATTTTTTTATTTGACCCTTTTACCTAGACAGAGGACTACCTTTGTAAAGAGATCACCTCTTTAAAGAGACCACCTGTGTGAACAGACCACTTATTAGTCCACTTCATGTTAAGTTTTAGCACTACACTGTCATAGTACTGATTCATAGTCAAAAAAAAGCTTGTAATTAAAGTAACACTAAAATACATCATATTTCCATACCTACAAGACAATTGTACACTTCACAGAATTTTGTTTCTTTGTAATGTTAACTGGACTTTGGATATGCTGTGGATTTTTTGGTTAGTCCTGAACCAAATTTAATAAAATTTTACATAAAATTAGGAATTATATGCTCCCCACCCACAGAGCTCTAAGTAGGGGACTAAAATTTATCAAATTGATTCAAATTTCAGGGATGGAAGGAATAAAGATGATTTACTAAAGTGTGATTTTTTTGCCCTTAGGGTTTCACATTTCCCCTTGGGTAGGAATTTACTACAATTTATATAGGAATATTATCTTTATCTTCTTCTACCTTTCTCTGTATTTCTGTTCATGCTATAGCATCTCTGTATTATCTATAAATTCCAGCTATGTCACTGACATTTTACATTTACAAACATGAAAATTGGTCTCATCATTGAATATCATGACATTATTGCCAATCATGGTGTTCAGGGTCTCCAATCCACAATATTACAATGGGAGAATGGAAATCATTTTCAAAATTGTCCTCTTTGTAATAAAATCAACATGACACTGCAATTGAACTATTAACTGAGGTAGATGATTAATGACCCTGGTGTCTTATTTTATAACACACAGGTTTGACAAGTCACTATCAAAATATTACATAACTGATTTAGATACATTTATCTTACAAATATCTTTTACTTTAGAGATTTTCCAAATTGAAAATTCACAAAGGATTTTTTTGAAATAGGATATACAAATCTAGAAGAAATCAAATTAAACCTGTGCATTTTTCCCCTCTGACCTTCAGCAAACTCATACATGAAACTACTACCCATTGTGCTTCTTAAGCTAACAGTTAATGTATAAACATTTTCCTATATTTTCTATTGATGCACTTAAATTGTTGCCAAAATTTGGAATATTACGCATTTAAAGTTTGCACAAAATTTTAAAATTTGTTTATGTCTCTGTTTCATTAATTATTTTTTAATAAACAATGTCACTTCAACTGGGTTGTGAAAAGAAAACTGTAATGGCTAGTTATGAGTTATCTCCCCTCTGTCAATATTGATGTCGTCAGAAACTGCAAAAGGATATCAGCTTGAAGCTATGTATTTTTTGCAGCGATAAAAAACGCAACATTATACACAAATTCTAAATTTTTAGG